GTAAGCAGCGATGAACACATAAGCATGTCTTCTTCAAAAGAACTTTTATATGGATATCTCACAATAACCAGCAGGATAGCCAAACCAGCGACATCAGTCGACTCGTCCATTTGCAAAGCGAATCGTGTATTTTGTAGACGTGTAACTAGTTCTTGTTTGACGTAGCTTGCCAGATCATGGATTCGTCGTGAAACAGTATCGTTTGATAGCGGAACAGTAGAAAGATGCTTTGCAGATTTTTCATCAAGCATACATTTTGTTATGTCTAATACACATGGTTTTATTAATTTCTCAGCGATAGTGTGCGCTTCACCTGCTTGTGCAATGCGATAGCTAACTAAGTATGATGCCTCCGTGGCCTTTTCGTTGGTAGTTTGTGTTACATGCATCATATTTTTTTGACTTTCTAATAACTGATCTTTTTTGCGAACAAAAAATTCTTTATTCTTGTCTTTAGTCTCGGGGTGTACGGTTTCTAAATGTCGACGCAATTTGGCAGGTGCCATGGAACTATTAGGAAGCAGTTTACTACAGAGCATGCAGAGAGGTGAGCCGTTGGAATCAACAAATCCGAAACTGATATAAGATTCATCATACTTCCTTTTTTTCGTCTTTGAAACCGTCGAGCTTGACGTCGTGGCACTCGTGGCATCATCTTCTGGATCGGTGATTGCTAAATTCTCCGCGCGCATTGCTTTTGAACATTCAGCGTCATTAGAAGATGTTGTTGGAACACGTTTAACACCTTTAAGCCAACGTTCCATTCTTCTTTATTTATAATGTTACAAGTCAGGATAGTGGGGTTTAAATAATGCACAATCGTTACTGCGTATAAGAGACTAAATTTAGAACCTACAGGGAAGAAATGTATAAAACTGAGACAACAGAATACAGCAGGCAGTAAAACAATGAACACCAGTTTCTCGCTAGCGAGCTTGTAAGTAGGTAGTAACTTATCGCTCCGAACGCTAATCATCAACTGACGACGCCAACGCGCGATCGCCGCTTTTATACTTAGTCCTAGACTCGATCTCAAATATTCTCGAAAATACTCGAGTCGGCACCTTTGATAAACAAAAAGCAAAAATAAAAACAGAAATTTAAAAATAGCGTTGTAAACAATATCGACTTTATCCTTTGAAGTTAGAGACGAAAGTCGCTAGTTGACAACTATAGCGTCTAATTCAGAGGCGGCTTTTATCAAAGAGACTGAGCGCTTACAAGTATACTACCCGCTCGTTTTAAGTTTGCCGCTGGCGATAGGTATGAGTGTATGACGTTCGAAATTTTTTATTTAATTGTAACAATAAAAATTGTGTACGTTAGATATTTGGGTAAAACTATGACACATTATAAGTTTTGTTGTCACGTGGGGGAGGGTACGCGCATTCCACAGACCGGCAAACTTAGAGCGAACGCGTTGTACAAGTATAAAATTGTTGAGACCAAACTTATGAGATATTGTACCAGCTAATGTAACACAAGCTTATACAAATACAAATAAATAAATAAATAACATTCATAGCGTTTTGTCTCCGCGCGGCCGCGGAGTCCGCACAGCCGCGGAGCGACCAGAGAGAGGTGTTTTGATTTTTTTATTTCTAAATTCTTGCGGAACCCCGACAGAGGTATCACGGAACCCTAGGGTTCCGCGGAACACACTTAGAGTATAGCTGGTCTAAACGAAGCTTTAACATACTTTCAAAAATTTTACCTAAACAAGAGGATAATGATATAGGCCTATAGGAATCACATTCATCTGGTGGTTTATCAACTTTAAGGACTGGAATCACACATTGAGTTTTCCATGACTGTGGAATTAATTGTTTCATCCATAGTGCATTAACAATATCTAAAAATAACTTTTTGGGAGTAATGTTCAATTTAGTTATAAGAATATATGGAAAGTCATCCAAACCAGGTGAAGTATTTCTACGTGATTCGAGACTAGTCAAAAATTCGTACCATGTAAAAGGTTGTAATAAGTGTGAAGAATAACTGTTATTATTATTTAAATTGAAGATATTATTAAGGTGTTCGGTATCGTTAGAAGAATTATCAGATAATTTATTTAAAAATGGAACAATAAATGTATCACAAAATGATTTGTTGCTTGGTTTTATTCTTTTAAACATTTTAATATTATTCCAAATAGTTGAAATAGGTGTAGTTCTGTTAAAACTATTACAAAGAGTTCTCCAACCATTCTTTTTCTCTTCTGCAATTATTCTTTTTTTGATAGCATCATTTTTTTTATAATTTATGAAATTTTCAATTGTAGGGAAACGTCTATAAAATTTTAATGCCTCTTTTGATTTAATCACACTGAGCTTACACCTTTCATTCCACCATGGAGTTGGGGGTCTAGTTCTATATTCGGATGTTTTAGACAATTTTGGAATACACTGTGATTTTAGCATTGAAAGAGTTTCACAGAAAAAATCATAAGATGCAAGAGGATCATTAGAATCGATAATAATATGATTAAAGCTTAATGTAGAAAGATCATTGTACCTATGCCAATTTGCCTTATTGTACAGAAATTTTTCACAAGGAGGATTAATGATATATTGATCTATTGTCAGGGTTATATCTGTAATTGTTGGGAAATGATAACTACCCATATTATCATCGTGGACTGACCATTTACACAGTGGAGTAATACTTGGACTAGCTAGAGAAATGTCTATGGCCGATGGATTGCGATTGGGATATTTTAGTGTAGTAAAGTCGCCTTCATTTAATATACATAAGTCTAGCTCATCAATAATAGAATATAATTGCACACCACGGCTTTTAGAGGACAAAGAGCCAAAAGCAACATGGTGAGCATTGAAATCCCCTGCTATGAAAATAGGTGCGGGCAGACTTTGTATAATATTACGTAATGCATTTATTCTTAAAGGACCTGAAGGAGGGCAATAGACACAAAGAATGGTTAAATCGCCATTACAAGTAGATAAAGATAAAGCTACAGTTTGGATATCTTCGTAAAAAACCATTGATAGAGCTTTGTATTTAAAAATGGGTTTGATAAGAATAGCGACGCCACCATGTTCATTTAAGGCATTCTTATAATAAATGTTATAGCCAGGGATGGAACAAGGCCGTCTGTCTTTTATCCAAGTTTCATTTAAGAGGCAAATGTCTATGTTATTATCTCTCAAGAAATTAACTAAAAGGGGAATCTTATTTGTAAATACTTTGAATATTAAACTGTGCAATCCTTAACGTCGTTTTATTACTGTTACTAAAATTATCCATAATTAAGTAAGGTTTTTAATGAATAATTCTTTAATTGACGTAGAAGTTATGGGAGAATCGTCCCCTTTGTTAGCTCTTGTTACTAGAGTTCGAACTATTGCGTTTGTGATTTCAGAGTTATTAATCAATTGATTCTTAAGTTCGTCTAACGAAATGTTTTTTTGGGATGCAGGCTTTACAAATTGTACTTTATTTTTTTGTATTAAAGTTGATGGTTGGACATTATGACTATCTGTTTTATTTACATGTTTATTATGTACAAGAGTAGGAAATTGCTCTTCGTAAATTTTATCCTTTAACATATTGGTATTATTAGTAGCGGCAGTACTGGCATACGTGACTTTACTTTTCTTTTCTTGGATCTTTTTGACTTTAACAGGACATAAATTCGATATTGCCAAATGTGGACCACTACAGTTAGCACAGTTAAGTTCATTAGGCTTATTGCAATCTTTATAGAAATGCTCTCCTGAACAAATACTGCAACGTTGTTTACCGTTACAAACTTTTGCCGAATGATTAAATTTAAAACAGCGATAGCACTGTTGCAGAGGAGGGATATACTCAAATACTCTATATGAAAATAAGTCATATTGTACGTGATCAGGAAGGTTGTTAGCCAGGAAAGTAATACTAACAGTTTGTAATGGTACTCTTTCATGGCCAACTTTTTTAATAAATCTACGCACAGCTATTATTTCGTACATCGAGGATAATTTACAGTAAAGTTCTTTATTAGAAATGTTGGCTGGTACATGTCTGATAATTCCAGTTTTTTCAATTTGAGCAGCTGGTATGTACGCTTTCATTTTATATTTATCCAAAAAAGCAGTGTTCATCAGAAAGTTATTTGCAGTATTATACTGCTTAAACACAACTGCAATTTTTATTGCATTGACCCGGTGAATGGCCACCACGCCTTTGATATCAGTGGTAAATATGTGGTTTAAATAAATTGGGCTCTTGTTGCCTAGTCGATCATTGTTATCAGTTTGTACAAATACTTTATACTCAAAATTGGTAGAATTTTCAGGGTAGAGTCTTTTGTAATTTGGTTTAAAATAGGGTAAAAAGTGCGAACTTTCCTCACCGCCGCCGATCGCATCAGTATTTTCGTCCAGTGAATTCATTTTTCTTGGTCTTTTTCCCGCAGATCCTGAACCTGGATTGACCGGGGCCGGGGGGAGCATATCACCCCCGGCCTCGCTATCTGCCGTATTTAATTAACGACAGACAACTTTGTTATTTTGTAATTAAAATTATCTAAGTATAATAAATTAATTACAATAAAATATTTTTTGGAAAAATTTTTCGCACGTTTGCTTGAAATTCCCGCCAAAGACCCACACATGACACATTTGTTCAGCGCAGATTAGGGATATTCATTTAATATCGATATATCTAATTATTCGATATTTACCATTCGATATATCGAATTACTTCGATATTTACCATACGATATATCGATTGACTTGATGTTTAGACAAAGATTTTTTATATTCGATATATTTATTAAAATATTGGATCGAAAAAACTAACGCTCACTTATAGTGACAATAAAACCAAAGTAAAGGAGATTGTCAAAAAATTGAAGAAAGAAAGGTTTCCTTATTCAGAACCATCCATGCCAAGCTATTTTAATATTTTTGTCACCTGTATTGACCTGTATTCTGTAATTTTTGATTTTGTAGGATTTTGTCGATGAAAACCCTTTGCCTTCCCAGAATGGTAAAGTTTATAAAAAAAAGTGCCGGATAATAAAAATTGTGTTTGGTTCCGAGGTTCTGTGAACATAGAATTTAGTTAAAAATAATTATAAATAACGCATTACTTGATGCTTTGTTCATTAACTTAAACACAGTCTACAAGAAAACTAAGAATACCGGCAGAAATGTCAAGTAAGTACAAATCCAAGCTACACGCATTGTGTGGCTTGCTAAAAAAGAAGCTTTGGTTTGAGTGCTAATTTTCTGTTCAAAGTTCTCCCCTTTCCGTTGTAAAGCTATTTGTATTACTCTAATTCAACGAATATTATCGCATTACTAACATATAAATATTTGCGTATTAATACTAAGGCTTTAAATGGTTTATTTTAGGTAGAAGGGATCGGTCCCGCTCACCAATGCGAGTGGATAATGTAGGTAAAAGAAGAGAAAATAAGCAACATGATAACATGAAGCCTTCTGACATGAATACTATGATGAATCCAATGATGATGCAGAATATGTACTCGCAGGGTTAGTATATTGATACATGGTGTGGAATCAAGATTATTTTGATAACACTGAAGGGTTTTAATAATTTAACCTCTTAAAGCCCGTCACAGACGTAGCTATAATATATATTAATATGAATCATAGCAAACATATTACAACATATTTTCAATATAAATTTTCGAGTGACCGCACACGCAGCTATAATATATATTTCTATTACATCACCAAAATATGTCAACAGATATATTTTGGCATATTAGTGTATATTTTGCCATAATAATATATATTTTGATATATTTTTATAATACGGGTTGTTCCATTTTTACCGAACGACTGCCAAAATATATATTATAGTACAGCTCCCGTCTGTGGTAGTTTGTTTAATATAATATCTCGATATATTAATATATATTATAGCTACGTCTGTGTATTTTGGCATATTAGTATATATTTTTAATACGGAATGTTCAACTTTTCTCTTAACGACTGCCCGATCTCCGGCTCAAGTGCGCACGAGCATTTCTCCCCCACCCTCGCTCTCCTAAAATACTGTGCAAATTTATTGGATGACAAAACACGATACAAATTAAATTCACCACAAGTTTTCTTTAGTTTTATATGTGACTCTACCCAGATGGTTATATTTTTCGTTCCTGACAAGGCAACATGCATATCAAATTCAGCATCGGAATCATCCTCTGAGGAACTTTCAATTAAATCTAAAAGTAGTGCTCTTGTCGAATTTCGGTAAGATTGATTATAACGTTATTTAAAAATTAAAACACCCTGTGCTAGAAAATAAGCTTTAAAACCGTGTGCTTGCAAAAACGACCGCAGACCGAGTGAGGGCAAAATATATACTACTAGCTGTTACCCGCGGCTACGCCCGCGTGGTGTTCCTATTTGAGGCTATCATCCTCTTTTGACATAGTGATTAAAAGAGTAGCTTATTTCTATTAAAATTACGGCGCTTTTCTGCTTGAAGCCGTACATTTAAATCTCTGCGCGCCTGTGCTTGTTCAGGTGTTTCGAATGACCTCAAAAAAGCTTGTCGTTCTGCTTGCTCATCAAGTTTTTGCTGAGTTTCAGCAGGTGTTTCTGCAGCTCTTAAAGCAGTTTGACGCCCTGCTTGTTCAAGTAGTCTTTGTTGAGACTGAACATCCGATTCAGCGGCTCTCAAATGAGCCTGCCGCTCTGTCTGCTCCTGAAGTCTTCTCTGTGTCTGCGACAGTGATTCTAAGGCCCTCAAATTCGCTTGACGTTCAGACTGTTCAAGACGCCTTTCCTGTGTCTGCGATTGAGATTCTGAGGCCCTCAAAGCAGTATGGCGATCTGCCTGTTCTTCCCTTCTCAGTTCAATTTCTTCAAGAGATTCTTGCAACCTAGTTAATCTCTTTGCTCGTGCTTGAGAGGATACTCTATAAAGGCTAGATTTGCGTTTGCGCGTCATTATTACGGTGAAGGTATCTGATTATTTTTTTTGCTTTTTAAAAATTACCTATTTTAGTTACAACAGTATAAAAATGTTTTGTAAGCACCTACTCAACTTGTTTATAGTAGGTAGGTATTTAAAATCGAAAAAAATTGCGAATAATTATCCATTCCCCTATTTTCACAAAAACCCAAGATCAATGTGTTAAGTTAATCGTCAAAACGATTGCTTTTTAATATTCCTTTTTTCTTTTTTTTTTAATTTAATTATTTTTATTTAATTATTATTATTTTAGCTAGGGTTAGGCCTAGGGCTATTATTATTATTTTAGGGTAGCGACATCTTTTCAGTTTCACACGCAACAGCTTGGTTTTCGAATTGTTATTCGAGTTGGTAGCGCGTACCTCTACTCAACATCCAGGATCAATCTTCACTTGAAAATTATTGAATAATACTCGATTAAGGGACTAAAATAAATCATTACAGCTGTTTATTTAGTATCTGTCTACTGTAAACAGCTGATTATTCAATATCTATTTGATGTTTATAAGATTTTCTGGTAAGATATTAGGACACTAAAGGAAGTCGTTTTTTTTTACTAATATTGTTTTAATTAAAATATCTACCTACAAAAAAAAATTAACAATAAATATTAAAAAGTCATGATTTTTAGCAATTAAAAATACTCATTTTAAAGACGGGTGGTGCCATCTGTTAAGTTACTCAGAAAATATTATTTCCAGAGAGACTACTCGGTTGAGTTGGTATTCGAGATGGTAGCGCCATCTCTTATTATTATAAGCAACATCCAGAAATAGATTCTGAGACACATTCCTGTGTCTGCGATTGAGATTCTGAGGCCCTCAAAGCAGTATGGCGATCTGCCTGTTCTTCCCTTCTCAGTTCAATTTCTTCAAGAGATTCTTGCAACCTAGTTAATCTCTTTGCTCGTGCTTGAGAGGATACTCTATAAAGGCTAGATTTGCGTTTGCGCGTCATTATTACGGTGAAGGTATCTGATTATTTTTTTTGCTTTTTAAAAATTACCTATTTTAGTTACAACAGTATAAAAATGTTTTGTAAGCACCTACTCAACTTGTTTATAGTAGGTAGGTATTTAAAATCGAAAAAAATTGCGAATAATTATCCATTCCCCTATTTTCACAAAAACCCAAGATCAATGTGTTAAGTTAATCGTCAAAACGATTGCTTTTTAATATTCCTTTTTTCTTTTTTTTTTAATTTAATTATTTTTATTTAATTATTATTATTTTAGCTAGGGTTAGGCCTAGGGCTATTATTATTATTTTAGGGTAGCGACATCTTTTCAGTTTCACACGCAACAGCTTGGTTTTCGAATTGTTATTCGAGTTGGTAGCGCCTACCTCTACTCAACATCCAGGATCAATCTTCACTTGAAAATTATTGAATAATACTCGATTAAGGGACTAAAATAAATCATTACAGCTGTTTATTTAGTATCTGTCTACTGTAAACAGCTGATTATTCAATATCTATTTGATGTTTATAAGATTTTCTGGTAAGATATTAGGACACTAAAGGAAGTCGTTTTTTTTTACTAATATTGTTTTAATTAAAATATCTACCTACAAAAAAAAATTAACAATAAATATTAAAAAGTCATGTTCATAAATAGCGCGATCTGAAAAAACGCAATATCACAACTCACATTTTTAGCAATTAAAAATACTCATTTTAAAGACGGGTGGTGCCATCTGTTAAGTTACTCAGAAAATATTATTTCCAGAGAGACTACTCGGTTGAGTTGGTATTCGAGATGGTAGCGCCATCTCTTATTATTATAAGCAACATCCAGAATCTATAATCACTCGAAAATGATATTTTTATATTATAAATTTAGAGTAGTATTTGCTAGATTTAATTTTAAAAATATGATTAGAAAGAAATTGCGTAAAATTACCTCGATTAAATAAATGAAACACTAACACAAAATACTCGGTATTGAACACGAGTGGTGCCATCTCGTATTATGTTAAGATAGCAACTTCCACATTTCAAATTTAATCTGTCTTCGTGACAGTAGCGCCATCTCTATCGGGACCAACCATGAAAATGATTAATTTAGTTGAAAATGATATAAATTCGAATACATAAATTAAAAAAAAGTAGCCTATAGCAGTCTCATAAGTTCAAGCTATACATATACCAAATTTCCTCACAATCAGTTCAGCGGTTTAGGCGTGAAGAGAAGACAAACAAACAAACAAACAAACACACTTTCCCACTTATAATATTAGTATGGATAGTATAGCTCCCGTCTGTGGTAGTTTGCTGTAATATAATATATATTATAGCTACGTCTGTGACAGGCTTAAGTTATTAACAAATATTTTATTTCTATAAATGATAATGAATCTATTACATTATTTGTTTTTTATTTTTTGTAGGTAATATGATGATGGCAGGTGGAATGTACCCAAACATGATGATGCCAGGCATGATGGGCGGAGGGATGATGCCTTCAACTGGAATGGAGATGGTGTCTGGCACAGGGATGGACATGATGTCCCAAACTCCAATGGATATGTCAGGTATGGGGAATGCCATGGCTCCTCAGAACATGGCTGCCGCTGGTGCAACATCCATGGATATGTCAATGATGGGTGGTATGGTAATGGATCCCTCTATGATGCAAATGTATACAGGCATGACTGGTGATATGTCCAGTGTACAAGAAAAAAAGGAAATAGTACTAAAAAATTGTAAGCTGACCCCTCCAGCTATGGGTACCCCTCAACCACCTCGAAGAAGTAGACCTCCAGGCTGCAGAACCATTTTTGTTGGAGGTTTACCAGAAAAAATAAGAGAAAGCACTGTCCGTGATATATTTGAACCTTATGGAAGAATACATACATTACGATTGTCCAAAAAAGATTTTTGCCATATTAGGTTTGACAGAGAGAGTTCTGTCGATGCTGCAATACAATTATCTGGATATCGTATTAAGCTTACGAATAAGGATAAAGACAAAGATAATGAAGATGATGAAGATTCCAAAGCTACATCAGGATGGCTTCATGTGGACTTTGCATTGGTAAGGAATTGGGTATAATTATTATATTGTGAGTTGACTGTATTTTCTTGTAATATACTTTTGTCTTCAGAGTCGCGATGATCAAAATGAATATGAGAGGAAGCAGCGTCAAGTGTTACGTGTACAGCAAGCTCAGATGCAACAACTTTCTGCTCAGCAAGAGCTAGTTCATAGCAGCAGTAGATCATCATACAGAAGATCTCCATCACCTGTGAGAATTCAACCTTTTTCAAATGCAGCTATACTACAACTTGTTGAGAAAATAAAAAATGAAGAACACTTTGCAAGCACTCTTCCAGTAAGTAAAGTGATATGTTATCACATTTCTATTTTGTTGTACGAAATCTACTTTATATAATTGTGTGGAAAATTTTATAATTGCAGACTTTGGTTTCCTGGCTAGAGAGAGGAGAATGTTCTAAAAAAAATTCTAATCAATTTTATTCAATGATACAAGCAACAAACTCTCATATTCGACGCTTGTTCAATGAAAAAATGCAAGCTGAAGAAGAGCTGACAGAATGCAGAGAAAGAGTAAAAAGCAATATTGAAAAAGTTTTTGAGCAACGTGAGTACACAATCGCAATTTAAAGTTTTATAAGAAATTCGTCTGCATTATGTTGTCATAGAGGGTCAATTTGTAAGGTCTGAAAGGTAAGATAAGGTCACTCTGTTTTTAATGGAAAACATTCAGTATAAACACAAGATGCTCTACATTTAATGGTATAATGGAAGATTCTATTGTAAATAATAATGATAACAACATATATATTAAATGTTGTTAGACCTACACAGTTATTACAGACAAGAGTAAATTATTTACACTTGGGGATTTCTATTGTATGTATATGGATCTTCATTGTGTGAAGTAATCTTTCAAACTTTGTAATGATATCTACTATGGTCACTTGGAACTTGTGAGACTGGATCGCTGCTATGCTGTACCACACATCAGGACTTTACTAAAATCATGTAACTGCTGAAATGATGGGGCTTATTGTGTAAGTTGCTAATGATCTGAGAATAATATTTGCTTGACATCTTATATTTCAGTGATCATTTTCTTTTTAATAGTAAAAATAATATTCTCAGATATTTCTCTGTGTTTGTACCATAGACCTAAAAGTAATGTTATACATGGAAGTGTAATTTGTATTTAAAAATGAGATTTTTAAATTTTTGTAAAGTTAACAATATAAAAAACACTATCTGGGCCCTGGCTAATCCTGCATTTTTTTTGTATAGTAATAATAATTTTTCACTGTTCTGTCAATGTATAAAAGAAATATTTAAATAATTGTTTATTTATCAGTTAGAGAGCCTATGGTACGAACACATCGTCATGTGCCCTCTGGCACGTCTCTGACCTCCATATCCAAGGTTCTGCGTGACATATCTACCGACCCATTGACCCCGGTATCTAGGTAGATGTAGTACCGGTGCATTCACCTCTGAAGCGACACTCGACATTGTTGAGAGCGAGGGCGTCTGGTCGTGATTATACTGTGGTATGTTCGGTCTGGGCTCTGGCGACACTTAACATAATTTGTAAACCTCAGTCGAGCAGGTGGCGAAAGTGTTTACAGCAGCAGGTCACCAACGTGTCTGGGATCACTTCACTAAGCCTCAAAGGAAGAACATAGAGACATGGCAGAAAATGACCCAGGTACTACGATCATTCACATTTTACTTCTTTTTAGTTAATGCATTCAGCTAAGCTGAATTTATTCTGTTGCAAATATTTCACAATGGATGTTCTCAATGGCCTTTTTGTTTGAACTAAAAGGCCATTCAATAAGACAATTTATCCGGATAAGCACTATGAATTAGTGGCAGTAGTATAAATCTATTTCATAACCATTGGATAGGATATTGAGAAAAACTTATGTCATGAAAAGGTTTTAATTGCAATCACATGAGAAGCGTGTTTTAGAAGACAGCTGTTCCAGGTAAAGTTGATTTCAGGTAATTTGTACATAACTTATGTTAACAACAAATAACCCAGTTTTTATATACTAGTATTTTGTAGTTGTTTCAAGTAATGTTTTTTTCAGGACTTCAATACATTGAAAGAAGAATTCCATGAGAAATTCTTTGGGGAGGAAAATGAACACAATGGTTACAATAATAAACCTCTAGAAATGGGAAACACAGTTAATAATGATGATTATATGCAAATTAAGGTATGTTTATGCAGCAGTATATTATCTAGTTTGCTACTTAGCTTGAGGAAAGTTTATCACAAAAAAAATATTAGGAATAGGAATTATGCATATTACTTTAGATTATTTTGACATGGTAATACTACATGGTAATGTAATATTTAATTTTGTGGAATGAAAGCATAATATCTGTTAATGTTGTATTAAACATATTTAAGCTCATTTGAATATTATTTTCAGATTGAGAACGACAGCCTGAAATTCCAATTGGAAGCTTACAAAAATGAGGTTGATGTCATCAAGGCCGATGCTAAAAAGGAAATGGAGAAATTTAAAGCACAATTTATTGCAAGACAAGCTTTGCAAGGAGCAATGGATAACAAACATGTAATTTTTTCTTTGTGAATGTCATATATGGGTGCAGGGCTTAAAGCGGGCCCAGGGGCCTCCATGAGAGAGAGGCCCCCACAATAGAGAAAAAAAACAGGTCACAAACCCACAGGGAGTGCAATTTATAAGTGGCCTGGTCCATATTTAGGGCCATCCACTTCTTGGTGGCCTCAAGGCCTCCACTACTCTAAATCTGGCCCTTCATAGGTATAAAAAAGACATGGTATCAGTAATCATCAATGCATCATTATGACCATGCAATACAGTGAGCTACTTAGCAAAAAAAGAAAAAAAGAAGTATATATTATTTACACACAACCATGACCAAATATCTGTGCTTATTACACAAAAAAAGTACCTTACTGAATTGAAATATAGGACCTTTGTTGCAGAAAACTGTATTGAAACTGCACGCTTGTAAATAAAATAGAAAAACACCAAGTGGTTTTATGTTCTTACTAGCTGTGCCACGCGGTGTTACCCGCGGTTTATTAGGGATATTTTCCCGCAGTAAAATGTAGCGTATGTGTTAATCCAGGGTGTGAGATAACTGCATACCAAATTTTATTAAAATCGCTCTAGCGGTTTTAAACGTGAACAAGTAACAAACATACACACTCACAAACTTTCGCCTTTATAATAATAGTGTGCTTACTTATATTTTTAAACACCGGTAGCAGATCTAAACCATTTAGTGATGAGGAACCATTTGCCAAATTTCCTAGAATTCGTAAATTGAATCACTGTTCTTACTTATGTAATATTATTCGAAAGGCTTCGTGGACCACTTCAGGTCCTTTCAGGGACCATCAGTGCTCCGAAGACCACCGGTTAAGAACCACTGCTTTAGAGTATAGACTCCAAGTACGAAGCGTGTAAAGGTTACAAAAAGTCAAGAATATGTTAAAATTTTGATTATTCACTTTAATACAGTAGAACGCCGATTATCCGAACGCCGATTAACCGTATCGCCAATTAGCCGAATCAGTCCTAAGCGTAATTTAAAAAAATTAAAACAGTGTTATTTTTGTTTTCTTTTGTTGTAACAAGTTGGAACTCGCGGGAATCCAGATATATTTCAACTGTTATAGTTGAAAGGTAGAGGCAAGACACTACATGTTTTGCGTGACGCGGTTTTATTTTGCTACTATGTACCTCTATTATTGTATTTAGTATTGTAGAACTGTGTTTGTTTAACTTATAGGGTTTATTCTATGTGTCCGATTATCCGAATTTTCGGTTATCCGAATCGACCCCGGTCCCAATTAATTCGGATAAGCGGTGTTCTACTGTACCTGTTTAAAAAGTGTTTTAATAAACGGTTATGTGTTGTTTTCAGCCTCCATTGCCTTCTCCGATGGTGAAGCCTCCTCCGCCACCGCCTTTGCCCGAGGACTTGGACTCGAAGGTCCATCTCAGGGAGGCCGTGGAGGCGGGTTGCGGCGAGGCTAAACTTATCGGAGTCATGTCCGCATTTCTACAGGTTAGTGCCTGTATCACAGACATAGGTGTATTCCGAAATATACACCAGTACGCTTTCCAGCGGTAATGACGTCATGATTTGGACGCCATATTGCACTGGTGTGCCGCCATATTACGCTGGTGAGAATACTGTGACGTAATTATTTATAAGCCGGGTGTATACGCTCTGCAGTTACTGAAGTTCTTTTTTGTATTAAATTGATAATAATGAAATAATCACAGTTAAAATTGTAGGTTAAAATTTATTATAACTTTTGGAGCATGAAAGCACACAAACACGAGACTGCTTTTTTAGTGTATTTGGATCGAATCAACAGCATGGCGTCATTACCGCACTCAATGAATATTTTGAGGGAAACCTCATTTTGATTACTAATTATTTATATCGCAAAAAATGACAAGCCAAGTCACAGATTAACCACACAATAACATAAACAGCTTATAATACTGGGTTACATATATATTTTTTTTTTTTTAGATTTTTTTTCGTATTCTTGATTAAATTTATTATATTGTTATGTGTATACCGAAAAACCGTGCACCATACAGGCCCTGTCAGAATACCAGCGTTGTCGTGACACGTTTAGTTACATGTCACGGCAACATTATGCTGAGGCAGGGTCCTGATTGACCAATATGATGGCTGTTAGGTTTAGAAAATTGTGTAATGCTTACTTTTTATATATTTATTTTTTATTTTAGCAGTTTATAATTTTTATGTTTGTGTTTTATTGGTCAATAAACTGGTTCTCTCTCTCTCTCTCTCTCTCATTACCGCTGGCCAGCGTACCGGTGTATATTTCAGAATACACCCATAGATCGAATATCATATCAAAAGTCATTTCTTTTTTGTAAAATCGCTGCTAGTATTTATATTAAATACAGATGCCAACAATTGGTACATTATTTTTCATACTGTCAAATAGCTTATTGGACACATAACAAATACATCTCTTCTGAATCTTCCATAGTTTTCCCCCTGTTAAGGATTTTTTTAGCTATTACGCATACCGCAAGTATTATAAGTAGGGGAGCCCCAGCAGGGAATTTGCGCGGCAGAGTATCATAAGGGGGGCCAACCTTGCATTATATAGGGTTCTACTGCCCATGACGTTCGCTAGGTCAGTTAAAAAAATCAACAACAACGGCCATGACTTGTTCGCGCATCCAAAACGTTAGTCTTTTGAATAAGAGCTGCGAAAATGCGCGCTATTTGATTTGATTTCAGAACATAATGTTCAAATGGCTTATTCCTTTTGTAGTAGGTTTTATTTCTTTTTTTACTAACGTGAGGTTACAAATGTTATACATCATACGCGACTACTGTAAGGCTCGCTCGTTTTTTTTCCTATTTTCTACCAATTTGTACGGACATCTCCACACCATGCAAACTGGCAGATTAAATATTTTTCTGTCATCGGAAACGTTACGTAAACCCTCTAGTACAGGAACATTTGTGCTTAAGTATGGATGTTTATATATATTTCTAGATAAATATATGTATCAGTATTGTATTCTATCCGTTACTCTAGTATCCCATACCACAAGCTTGCAATGCTTACTAAGAGCTCGGCTAATAGGCAAGGTGTATTTAATTTTTCTAATAAATTTTTTTTTTAGCCACGAATTTAATTATTGCATAATGCGAAAAACTGCGAAAATTCAAAAATCTGAAACGCGACGAGCGGTTGTGACGTAGAGACTTAGAGATACATAGCAACAAATCAAAAAACAAGCGCCATGTTCACAGGACATGTCAAAATGAACGAGACCTAGTGCGAAAGCGTATTTTGCGTGGACCTAACCTCCTAATCTAACTGTAGACTTGTTTGTATTGTTGCTAGGTTTCTTTGAACTGTGACGTCACAGCAAAAGTTCTAAAATAGCGCTCGTTTAAAAGGCCCATGCAAAGCGGCTATTTTTAACATTATTCTGAGACACATTACACTATTTTTTTGACGTTTAAAATGCTTATACTACCTAAAGGGAATGTAATCTACCACTACCACTCAACTCCCGTTCGCCTTTCCCCGATCTCACTTTTCGTAACGCGTAACGAATTCGCCAGCTTACCCCTCAAATCAATCGTTTAACAGGCCCATGCAAAGAGGCTATTTTTAACGTTATTTTTAGACACATTACACTATTTTTTCGATGTTGAAAATTTCTATACTACCTATATTAAGGGAATGTAAACTATGAAAGAAAAATACAAAAAGAACATGAATATTCAATAATTACACTCACGTCACAGCGGTGACACTCTCTGTACGTGAGAGTTCCAGCGTCAGTGACCTTGAGCAGGAGCGTGTATGCGCTAGGGTTGAACTTGGAATTTAGACTTGTGCCAATGAATATTTGTGCATAGTAAGTTATTAAATGTAAACTGATTCAAGAATACTGGGGTAAATAATGAAGGATAGGTTTGATTTTATAATCAATTTTTAATCATTTAATGTAGGTACTATAACAAATTGCTAACTTTTATATATTTTCTCCTTTTTCGATTCGTTTTATAATTCTTATTATTATCTAAATAATAAAAAGATTGCGTAGCGTAGTCAGTCTGTGCGTGCAATGCAGTGCAACGCTATTATTTTACTATTTCGCTACTGCCATGCCTTCGGTCGAGGCAGTCGGCGACTGCCCTCTCCACGTCCCGCGCGCCGCGCAACGCCCCCGCGCACCTCCAGACAACCACACATAGCCGCGGGCGATTTTACGAGCACACATGCTTAAGAGCCTTTTCACATTTTTTGCAATAAATCGCAATTTTTGAGCGCCTCGTTTGCCCCCTTTGAAGAGGTTTTTACTACTTCCAATAGAAGCAAACAGTAGATTTATTCTTCCTATTGAAAATTAATGTAGAATATTTGCAAATACTATTTTCATTTTTTTGTAATGATCGATCTACCGCAGCTAGTTTACGGAAAAAACGATAATATGCACACCTTAAAACGCCTAAATCTCACAATAATGTTCAATAAATTAGATCAAATTAATTACTACTACATCAGAAATATGTTTTTGTTGCAACATAATGTATTAGAATCTTGATTTTCCATCTCATTAATTATTAAAAAAACATCTAACCTCCGTGAGTTTCCCCAAAAAATAACGCAGATTTACCTCGTATTTTGATATTGAATTAAATAGAATTACTATAAAAAACTTTCATAAAACTAATCTACAACCATTGAACTATTGAAATATGTATATATTTTTATAATAAGTTCATTAATTATTATTTTATAAGACTCTGAATATCACCCGTAAAATGCAATATATACTAGTGCAAATCTAGGCGCCCTGTGTCGCTTTGTACCGCACGCGTCCCGAGCGATGCTACGAGTGCATTCATCGTAAAACTGGCTGGATATACTACGACCGCAAAACTTTAATCGTTGACTGTATATAAGTTTCCACAACCGTATTATTTTTTATTATTATAAGTACCTCCCTAGTTATTAATTATCGTTGCTTCAACTAATATTTTTGTTATTAGCTTTTACAATGGGGCGTAAAATTTCTGCTTACCATTGTGTCAAAAAAAGAAAACGAAAGAATGATGCAGCCATTAAGAAAGTTTGTGAAGCAAGGTGAATATGCTTATAACATTTCGCTTTATTTTTAAAGCCTTTAAAATGCCACTAATTGATAAAAAAAACATGTTATGAAAGTTATTCATCATTAAATTTCCTACAACTTTTGCATAAATCTTTTTTTTACTAAATAAATACTTTTATAATGCTATTCAAATAAGAATACAAAGCCTATGACCTCCATCTGACAAATGTCGCTTGAAAAGTACAGTTTGCAAAAAAAACTCGGAATACTTTTTTAGCACTCAGCTAATTCTAGAATAAAATCAAACATTTTTAAACAAACAATAACAAATATTGATACTTAATATAGGTTGATATTTTTTTTCATTTATTGAGCTTTGGCTATGAATGGTTGATAACCTAAATCGTCAACTAAATGTCACTTTATGTTCCGCTCAGAAACTCGATTTAATACTTTCGTTTACATATAGGATGCATGTTCGTATGTGACCTGCATGATTATTCATAACTACTCCGGTGGTAATGCAGAGATGAGCGGAATTGAAGAGCTAGATTCTAATTTATGTTTTTGCTCACACAGTCTTCATAAAGTATTATTAAAAATCGGTTGTGTTTTCTCTCAATCTTAGTAAATTAATTTTATTAAAAAAATCTGATGTTTTTTCTCACTTAATCTAAGTAAATAAGTTTGATTAAATAGAAACGTTTTTTTGTTCACTCTACCTATTTGGCTTGAATTGACAGCTATGACGTCAAAATATGGCGCCCAGTCGGTCCTATTCTTAGTTGAATCGCATTATAAAGTTATGAGTCGTTAACGTAGCAATAACGCAGTATATCAGAGTTTTGTATACGTGCAATTGATTCTCATCACTAATATTATTTATAATATTTATATTTTTTTTCACTATTTTTTTTTATTACATTTTTTTACAATTAATTGATAACAATCCAACACAAATCATCATCAGCTTCAATTTGTATGAAAGTAAGTGAATTTTTCGGATCTTTCTGTAATTTCATTTCAATGCCCGTTTTTGCGCACATTAACGACTATTAACTTCAAAAGTAATTATTTAATAAAAAAAATATACAAAACTTGTAGGGAATTCAATCATGAATAACTTGTATACGACGTTTTTTATCAATTAATGACATTTTTAAGGTTTTATAAAGGAAAAAATACAAACATGTTCAAATAAACAGCAACAATTGAAAAACGGTAAGAGTAACAATAAAAAGCTTGAGAGAAAGAAGTTAGAGAATTTAGTAATAAACAAAAAACACTACATTTTTTCCGTACAGTTAATAATTTAGGAGATATAGCTATAAACGCGTTTTCCAATAAAGTGGCCAGTTGTGATCACCCTACATTCCCCGATTTAAACTTAAGCTTCTTACAATCTACACTTATGTTTGTAAACAAAAGCTAGAGTACGGTAAAATGTTGCATTTCGATCAAGTATAACAAGTATAAGCTCGTGAAACAAAATATTAATGGCAACCCCGAAAATACTGAAACTATACCGACCATAAGTTCAATAAATTCGATTGCAACGGAAACTGTAAGTTTTTCATAATGTTATTGGAAGTAGACAATGAAAAAAGAAATTAAATTTATAACAATAAATTTATAATTATTTAAATTTATAGTAATAAATTAATTTATATAGCAAAAACTGCTGTTGGATTGGAAATCGAAGCCGAGGAACAAAGGGAAGCGTCAAACTCAAACTCAAAAAGTTAATATTTTATCTGTTTTATACTGATTTAATGGGTATTTCACTACTACACTAGGTACATAGTTTACAATGTTAGCAGTTTGGTTTTTTGTTTTAAACTCAAACTAATGGGATGCATTTCTAGAGCAAAAAAAGTTTATTTTTAATATTTTATATTAGACTTCTTTGCTCCACAAGTTCAATTGACAGTAACTTGCTGATTTTCGTACCATCTCTGTGTCTGGATTGGAAATGTATTTCCAGTATTGCCTATATCTGTTTATTAAATGAACTATGAAGGCGAAGACAAAACTACACTTAGTACAGTTTTACTGAGATATTTGATTATTACCAAACATCAATCATCATTAAAAAAGTCAACACTAAAAACACAAGTAAATAAAATATTATTTCTCATTGCCACTCGAAAAAGGGATTTCATTCAGCGATAACAGTGAACAAACTTTTCATTTAATTACTGAGTGAATAAAAAAATATTTGAACAAACAGAAGTTATGCAAAGCATACATATAAAGTTACAATAATTAGTAATAATCATAATTAATCTTTATTGTCATTTCCAAAACACAACCAATGGGTACTATAAATATATCATTTATTTTCTCACAATAGTAAAAAAACTTAATCCTTGTATCCTTTGCTCCACTCACGATTCCTATCTAGAATCGTTCGTTGCTACAGTAGGGATCTGTTGTGGGTCTATATGTTTGATTTGCATAACTTCTGTTTGTTCAAATTTTTTTATTCACTCAGTAATTAAATGAAAAGTTTGTTCACAGTTATCGCTGAATGAAATCCCTTTTTCGAGTGGCAATGAGAAATAATATTTTATTTACTTGTACTTTTAGTATTGACTTTTTTAATGATGATTGATGTTTGGTAATAATCAAATATCTCAGTAAAACTGTACTAAGTGTAGTTCTGTCTTTGCCTTCGTAGTTCATTTAATAAAAAAGTTTTCGCACTCTGTATTTTCAATATATCTGTAAGAGTATTTGATAAAAAAATAAAAAGCATGTTTTTTTGTATTCGTGTAATTTCCATTCATTTAAACAAAACCCATTAAAAGCATTTAACTTTCATAGGAACTCATCTCTTACACACCTAACTCATGAAATTATTGCTGCGAGTTCTCGTATGGTAATTTCAGGATAAATAATATGAAAACGGAGCTGGGAAAGTTCACACCTCTTCCATCACTAGCTGCTGTAAAGCACATTCAATAAAATCTGCTATTCTCTATACAATTAATTACTCATCAGTGTTATCAAAGATTATCATCACTGATGCTATCATAACCGGAAGCAGTCTGGTAGTATAACGTATCACGTACAATGTTTGTCTCTTTTTGAAACTGATGATTGATGTTTTGTTTTTCGTAAATTACAATGAAGGTTATATTATAGTTATCTATAATAATATATTATTGTTTGTGGATTATTACGGTGACAAAGGGCCACAATACATTTAATTTTAATAAAAGTATGACGATAATAAACAAAATACTTATAATAACAACATCTGAAATTTCCTCGCTCATTGTCAATTCTATAAGTTCTTATTTCAGCTGAGGTGATATTGATATGTTGACATTTGACGGTCCAACACCCAGTCTGGTGTTTCCAAGTGCAAAATGTCCTGGTATCATTACACGTCCTCCATCAACCATATACTCCTCCTGAAAACAGATTATCTAATTGACTACAATACTGCTTTTATCGACTATCTACGCATATAAACAGATATAGGCAACACTGGAAATACATTTCCAATCCAGACACAGATATGGTACGTAAATCAGCAAGTTACTGTCAATTGAACTTATGGAGCAAAGAAGTCTAAATATAAACTATTAAAAATAAACTTTTTTGCTCTAGAAATGCATCCCATTAGTTTAAGTTTAAAACAAAAAACCAAACTGCTAACATTGTAAACCATGTACCTAGTGTAGTAGTGAAATACCTATTAAGTCAGTATAAAACAAATAAAATATTTAAATTAGAGTTTGACGCTTCCCCTTGTTCCTCGGATTCGATTTCCAATCCAACAGCTTTTTTTTCCTATATAATTAAATTTATTATTATAATTTCAATTTCTCTTTTCATTGTCTACTTCCAATAACAACATGAAAAACTTACAGTTTCTGTTGCAATCGAATCCATTGAACTTATGGTCGGTATAATTTCAATATTTTCGGGTTTTAATTTTGATTAAAATTTTGTTTCCATCTAAAATACATAGAACTGTGGATTTCTATTCTAAATATATTATTATGTTGGGCCAATATGTACTTTGGCGGCCCACGAGCTTATACTTGTTATACTTGATCGAAATGCAAAATTTTACCGCACTCTAGCTTTTTTTTATAGACATAAGGATAGATTGACATACCCATTAAGTCAGTAAGTTAAAATCGTTGGCCATTAGAGTACAGTACCTTGACTGATTACAATTTTATACCAATGATACTTGAAAAGTCCGGACAAATCACAATTTTTATACAATTAAAACACCCATTGAAACCACAAAAATAAAAAACGAAATGTTATAAGCATATTCACCTTGCTTCACAAGCTTTCTTTATGGCTGCATCATTCTTTCGTTTTTTTTGACACAATGGTAAGCAGGAATTTTACGCCCCATTGTAAAAGCTTATAACAAAAATATTAGTTGAAGCAACGATAATTAATAACTAGGTAGGTACTTATGATAATAAAATTTAATACGGTTGTGGATACTTACATACAGTCAACGATTAAACTTTTGCGTAGTATATCCAGCCAGTTTTACGATGAATGCACTCGTAGCATCGCTCGGAACGCGTGCGGTACAAAGCGACACAGGTCCGACCTTCAAAGGCGCTGGCGCCGTACTGAACGGCGTCTTGATTTGCACTACTATATATTGCATTTTACGGGTGATGTTCAGAGTCTTATAAAATAATAATTAATGAAATTATTATAAAATTATATACATATTTCAGTAGTTCAATGATTGTAGATTAGTTTTATGACAGTTTTTGATAGTAATTCTATTTAATTCAATATCAAAATACGAGGTAAACCTGCGTTATTTTTTGGGGAAACTCACGGAGGTTAGATGTTTTTTTTAATAATTAATGAGATGGAAAATCAAGATTCTAATACATTATGTTGCAACAAAAACATATTTCTGGTGTCGTAGTAATTAATTTGATCTAATTTATTGAACATTATTGTGCGATTAAGGCGTTTTTAGTTGTGCATATTATCGTTTTTTCCGTAAACTAGCTGCGGTAGAACGATCAGTACAAAAAAATGGAAATAGTATTTGAAAATATTCTACATTAATTTTCAATAGGAAGAATAAATCTACTGATTTACTTCTATTGGAAGTAGTCAAAATCTCTTCTAAGGGGGCAAACGAGGCGCTCAGAAAATGCGATTTATTGCAAAAAATGTGAAAGGGCTCTTAAGTGTCGTTTCTTTTCGCGTAGTGTATATATTCTGTGCTCACGTAGAGTGTAATAAATATTTATTTTAAACAATCCTGTTCATCATAGGTTCATCCTCACGGCGCCAGTCTCGACTACGTGGTATCATATGTACGCGCTTTGTTCCCGCACGTATCGCAGGCGACAGTTCATCACGTACTGCAGAAGCACTCTGACGTTTTCCAACGCACCACTTCGGGAGTCGGCGCCAATATAGAACACAAGTGGTCATTTGTCGGCTTCAACAAAGACGAAACCGAAAAAGAATAATCTAAGCAACACTAGTTGCAACATTGATATTTAGCCGTATCGCATTTGAAAGTTAATTCAACAATTCGGCAACACTAGGGTCCTACGGACACTCCCGACTAAATTATGTTTGTAAAAATAGTGACTTAACGAAGAGCACATAATTATGATAAAAATGTCTTTGTTGATAAAAATTATAGGCAAACAAATGTTTGAAGTAAAATAAAAACAGTTGAAATAATAATAATAATAAGGCATTTTTAATGAATTTTAAACTTTATGTTTATTATATAAGAATGATTTCCCTATGTTATATTCGGTAAGGTCACTATCATTCATGTGAGCTTAAGCAGAAAGTAGATTATTATAAAGGAAACGTATCAAAAAAATATGTTTTAAATAAACATAGACAGATGTATGTTGTAACGAATTGTTTTATTTTTAACCTGTTCAAAACTGCTATAGCATAAACTAATATAGATAAATACCGAAGTTAATTAATTTCTGCTTCCTCCTGTGTGGCAAAATTTAGAGGAGATATCGATGGCGCAGTTATAAGCGTCTCTGCCCTGATTTTCAAAGCTTACAAGCATTGTAATTTGTTTGTTAAAAGAAACATTACTGCAAGTATGTGTTAATCAAAAGTACACATCATAACAGCGAGTCTCTGAGCTAAGCTGTGGGCGGACATAACGAAACTTTAAGGAACCGCAAAGAGGCGGGGAAAAAACATCATTCAGTGTTGATTTTAGCATTACAATAAGCATCTAGCAGCATTTAATTTTAGAAACGTTGTTTTTTTTTAATAAACGTAATTTACTTGAACTTGTAAAATCTTCCTTGTAGAGTATAATTTGTGAACTTGTATGTTTTGATAAATAGGGCACTGGTCTGCAATCGTGGAAGTTGACCAAGTTTCGTAATGACACAGAGATCTTCCGTGCCTCGGAAGGCATATTAAGCGAAGCCGTTGGTCCCGGCGTTTCATTACATCCACCTGCAATCCAAACTGGGACTATGTGGTGGGTCATGGCCCCAGCATTGGGGACATGGATAGGATGATATTTTAGAGTTCTTTCAAATTATATGAAGCACCATGATTCTCGAGTGATAATGAAGGCTATTATTTTATCGCGTCATAATAAAATTGTGGCTTTCTCTATGCTGCGGTCGCTGACGGCGCGGCGCGGTGTCGTTGTCGGTCACCAGCTGACCCGTGGTCTTTATACAAAAAAAATGACAACAGTAAATAGTTCTTTATTTATTTTTTACCTATGTGGTTTTCGATTGCTTCTGTTGCGTGTTTATTTCTTAGAGTATCTGCACGGAAAACAAAGAAGCTAGGATGGCTTTGTGGGCTGGGCAGGCGCGCCATAGTTATGTGTGAGTACTTGACCAAAATTTTGTTCTTATTGCGTCGTTGCTCCCGGGTGTGAGCCCTGATTGGTTCGATTGTTTGATGTCGCGTCGTTTGATTGGCTATTATGTATTAGGTGGATGCGTAGTGAGAGCGAGTCGGCGACCGATGGGAACCGATGTTCCCATTCACACGGTCTATGATCACCCTCCTAACCTCTTTCTCTGTTCTGTGATCATCTGCATGTACTCTTCCGTGGTCTTTATACACAAAAAATATGGCAATAGACAATAGTTCTTTATTATTATTATTCTATTCTTCTATGCGATTTACGGTTGCTTCTGTTGCGTGTTTAATTCGTATATCATCTGCATATACTCCGCCGTGGCCTCCTCGGTATCGCGATCGCTGTTGGCGGTGTCGTTATCGCTGCACAGCTGATCGCCGTGGTCTTTACAATAAAATCAACTACAGACGACAGTTCTTTGTTATTATATTCGGTCTATGTGGTTTGCGATTGCTTCTGTTGCATGCTTAGCTCGTTGATCATCTGCATGTATTCAGCTGTCGCCTCCTCTATATCGCGATCGCTGTTGGCGGTGTCGTTATCATTCCCCTGCTGAACGCCGTGGTCTTGCCGCATCTTCAAACGTAGCTCCCTCATGCGAGCTTCTAGAATGCGTTCGCGTTTGTTCTCACGGTCGAGAATCTACAGAGAAAATGACAATAGAATTCTTATGCAATGCAAACATACAATAGCTGTCCCAGCAAACTTCGTACCGCCATAAAAAATTGGGGTTGGTAGTAGAAGGGTGAAAATTTAGGGTAGTAAGTAATTTTGTATGATGTTATCACAAAAAATTAAAACCGTAAAATAAAAAAAAAATGGGTGGACCACTCTTAACATTTAGGGGGATGAAAAATAATGATAGCCGATTCTCAGACCTACTGAATATGCATAATATTTCACTCAAATCGGTCGAGCCGTTTCGGAGTAGTTCAATAACGCACACAGTGCCACGAGAGTTTTATATGTTAGATAAATAAATGGGCATTTAGCGGGATTTGTACCTAGGTTCGTTATAACAGCGCTGTCGTTGAATGAATGAGTATTTTATAACTTCGGTATTATAGATTTCAGCATAAGTGAAGATTTTTCAAATTAATAAAAGTAGAATTATAAAAAATCGGCCAAGTGCTAATCGATAACAATAAGCAGGGTCTCGTTCCATTTTACAGCATATTGAGGAAAAAGTGTCCAACAACACGTTTTTAGGAAACCTTATAGGATCACTTTGTTGTCCGTCCGTCCGTCCGTCTGTCTGTCAAGACAGTTTTTCTCAGGAACGCGTGTAGGTATCAAACTGAAATTCATATCTAATACTCATGTCTACTGTCCCTTGGAAAAAAAAATGTGTGTGTCAGCTCCGACGCACGACCGGAGTTTACACTCTAAAAACGATTGTCTTTGAACAGACACAAAACAAAATCAAGTCCGAACAAGTCGGTTACAAGTAGAGATACACCAAAAGCTAATAAAAGCGTATTAAAAAAAATTACATCAAGGCGTGATAATTTTCAGAATTTTTATAATAAATAAATGAGATAATATGAAAAAAGTATTTTTTTATTTAAATTCACATTCATAGCTTTTTAAAATTGCAACATTATTTTTTACTATAATTTATCAATTTGAGAGCTGTTGACGGGTAAATATGAAAGGGTTTTGCTTATAAATAAGTGGAAATTTTCAAAAAAATCGCTTCGTACGTCCGTAAATAATAGTATTATCTACCGACGTCCGAAGCGCTGTTTTTTTGAAAATTTTTATTTATTTATGAGAAAAACGGTTTTCAAGTTCTCATTCATTGTGAAAAAACGATAGAGACACTTTCATTTGCTCAAAAGAGAACAAGAGAGAAAAAAGACTTAAACGTACTTAAGAAATATTGTTTTACGTCAAATGTCCGCTAATCATTTATTATAGAATTCGCGATTTTATTTTATCGATCGATTCTTTTCAATAGATAGAATAGAATAGAATAGAATAATTATTTATTTGCGTTTGAACAGGGTAATCAAGGTCATAAATAGTTACACATAACTATACTGTAGGTTTCACCTATTCAGCTATAGATCGTAGCATGCAAATTTACATAAGTTTTTTTCAAATTAATTAATACCATGTCACACAATTGAATAAAAGTTCAGGTCACAAAATAGAGCCAAAAATATAAAAATTCGATTAAAATCAGTTCATATTAAATTGTTAATCAAAAATATAATTAAATCAGTATATGTCACTCAAAATCTCATCCACCAAAATTACTATTATTTATATATTAGCTATTACAATTCAAGAATTCCTGGACCGAGTAGAATTTACGTTCAATGAGCCATCTATGTAGTGTTATTTTAAATCTACTGAAAGGCAAATCTCTTATTGAATGTGGAATATTATTAAAAATTTGAATGCACATATAGTAACAGTTCTTTTTAAAACGTGTGCTTTTCGGATTGTATCAATGATTAACCTTTTACAATGTCTTGTATTTGTAGGAAATATCTCACGGGCAGTTTTAAAGTAATTTTGATTTAACTTTACGAACTTAGATATCTCCAGGATATAGAGAGGCATGGCAAAGGTAAAATATTTAGGAGTTTGTAAAATGGTTTGCATGACATATCGGGTGCAATCCCGCATATTGCCCTTATGCACTTTTTCTGTGCTACAAATACCGTTTGTATGTCCGTACTATTTCCCCAAACAATAAGCCCATATCGCAAGACCGATTCCACATAAGCAAAATATGCTGTTAGAGCCATATTTTTAGTTGCTGTTTTAGTAAGTTTAAAAAGTGCATAAGCAAATCTATTTATTTTATTGCATACCTTGTCTACATGTAATTTCCAATCAATTTTTTGGTCAAGCTCAATACCCAGAAAAGTAGCACTGCTTGTTTTTTTTAATAGAATGATTCCCGTAATGTACATTCAATATCCGATTGTAACCGTCCGTGTTTTGTTAATATTGATTTTTAAATTGTTATCATTAAGCCACGTTATTATCGATTCAATTGTTTTATTTATGTCATTTTCATGGTAATTTATGTTTTGATTTTTATCACTTGTTACTACAACTGAAATGTCATCAGCATATAGGAATGCATTTATGTTTCGTCACTTTAGGTAACTCATTCACATAGATTAAAAACAGTAAAGGGCCAAGAATGCTACCTTGGGGCACACCATAATTAGTTTCTGTGAAATTTGATTTTTCTTTATATATCACTTGTTTATTACTAAGTTGAGCAATTTCCACTGACTGCATCCTATTTTGAAGGTATGATTTGATCCAACTTAGTGCTTTACCTCTAATTCCACTTTGCTCCAATTTAAAAAATAGTTTATTGTGTGATACAAAATCAAAAGCTTTTGACATATCAAATAGGAGGACTGAAGTTTCCTTCCTATCATTTATACTTCTTAGAGTATGATCTATTAACTCAAAGGCAGCAAGTGTAGTGGATTTATTTTTCAGGAAGCCATATTGATTATCATTCAATACTTTGTATTTAACAAAGAATGACGTAAGTTTATCATGCATTATCTTTTCATATATCTTGGATAGAATTGGTATTAGTGTAATTGGTCGATAATTGTCTAATTCTAACTTAGAACCTTTTTTAAAGAGCGGCTTAACAATTGAATATTTCAGTTTATCTGGGAAAGTCCCAGTTTCCAAAGATAAATTTATTAAGAATGCTAATATTGTGGCTATCTGATCCCTGCAGCTTTTAATAACCTTTGTGTTAATTTCATTATAGCCTTCAGAGTTCGTATTATTCAATGTCATGGTAGTTTTCTTAATGTGACATGCGTTAATAGGAGAAAGATAAATTGAATTTGTTAAGTTGTCACATAAGTTTTTTTTATTAGGATTATTTGTATTATAATAATTATTGGAATTATCATTATTATTTGAATTCTTATCTGTCAATGTAATAAAGAAGTCATAATAAAAATAGAAGCTATTATATTTGGATCCTCGATAATTGAGTCATTGTGTTTAATTCTGTCTATAAAATTGTTGTAACCCGATTCAAGACCAGTTTCGTTTTTTATTACATTCCAAGTTGCCCTACATACATTTTTACTTTTTAATATATATTTATTATTTGTTGATTTTTTAGCCATAAGGATGCACGTTTTTAGCAATTTTGAATATTTTGTATATTTAAAATTATTGCTATTTAGTTTCGTTAAATGTTAAATCTCGTCTAAATTTTCTATTTGTGAGGCAGCTCTTCCTGAGTCCTTTTGTTATCCACGACAGATTTCTCTTGGTATTATTTTTTATTTTAATCATAGGAAAGCACAGTTTGTATAGCAGACAAAACCATTCATATTTTATGAATTGAATTAATTAAAAATTTAAATATTGAAGGCGGTTTGGGGGTCTTTTTCTTGGTAAACTTCAGAGAAGGATAAACTTTTTAAGTAACCCTGGAATTTTTCAATATTTTCCTGTGAGTAGCATCTTTTGAAAGTGAACATTGCTTTGTCTATTTTTGGTTTGATTCTGCTATTAAACGTAAGTATCTGGGCCGTATCATGATCAGAGAGGCAGAGCAGGATTAGAGAACCAGAGGCTCCTGCAACGCTACTGAAAATGTGGTCAAGGCACGAGCGCCCTCTAGTTGGTTGAGTTATGTGTTGTTTTAAGTTGTAATTTTAGATAAGATATCAATTCAATCGATTCTATCGTTGAAATATAACTATACTTCTTTATTGTCGTGGTTGATTGACGCTGGCTACACACAAGTATATACACACACACAACTGAAAATTGAAAGGTGCGCAGATGAGGTTTTCAGTTGTGCGGCGTTTTTTCACGCCCTATCAACTGTGCTTGTTGTACAAAACACAAGTGCGGTCCTGCGTGGAATATTGCTCGCACCTCTGGGATGGCTCCGCCAAGTACTTGCTCGATGCTTTGGATAGGTTACAGCGGCGCGCGATCCGAATCATAGGCGATGAGAAGGTGACTAAACACCTTGAGCCTCTTCAATTACGCCGTGACGTGGTGTCACTAAGCGCGTTCTATCGTCTGTACCACGGCGAGTTCTGAGGAGTTATTCTCTCTTATCCCACCTTCCCCTTTCCTTCAGAGGACCACGCGCGCTGGCCTACGTTGTCACCGTCTTACTGTGGCTACAATTCCAACGCGTACAAGAAATTTGGTGACTCATTTCTTTGTCGCACTATCCGTAAATGGAATGCTCTGCCCGCTCACGTGTTCCCTCCCTCTTACAACTTGGGATCCTTTAAAAGAGGCGTCAAGAAGCAACATGCAGGCCGGCAGGGTGAGGATGGCTGGTGTGGCAGGTAGAACTGCTGTTTCAGCTATCTTCGCGTCTGGACTTCACCTTTACTTAACATCAGGTGGGGTGGAGTAATTTGGCGGACTTATCTAAAAAAAAAACCCTCGGTGCGCGAGTCCGACTCGCACTTGGCCGGTTTTTTGTTTGGGTATTATGCTTAAGTATTTGTTGTTAAGGTTGTTATAGTCTACTACTTTTTATCTTACTTGTGTAAGGAGTTGTTTGTCATTTTTATCAGCGGTGCCCAAGTTCTGCGACAATTCAGCTAGGTATACAGTTCCCTTGCTACTGCCGCAAGCTACAAGTTGACCCTAAAATAATAAGTATAAAAGTTTTTGTTTACTTCCAATTGAGAAGATCAATCGGGAACCAAAACTAAAGATGGGCAGTTTTGATATTCGACTGAGAACCTTTCTGTAAGACAAATAAAGCAAAGCAAGTTAACACAAGCCATCGGCAGGGTCACCAAAGATATATTAGCTCATATCTAGCATTTATGATTGAGCTTTAGGACGAATAGGTTAAAAGTTCTGTGGCTTTTGCCAATTACCGACTGCGTTATTCCCTTATTAGTTCAGACAAGTCTGTATGAATTGAATTTCATGAATCTTTTTAAGTCAAGAGCTCGATGGCGCGTGTGGTTAGCGTGTTTGGCTGCGATCGTTGATGTTAAACAATTTTAGCAGTGGTCGGTCATTGGATGGGTGACCAAATATTTTGTATCTCGAGTTTTTCTACCTCCGTGCTTCGGCAGGCACGTTAAGCCGTTGGTCCCGGCTGCATCCGCAGTCGTTAGCACCCGCCAATCCTCACTGAGCCCGCGTGGTGGGTCATTGCCCGATCTCCCTATTCCATCCATAGGGAAGGCCTGTGCCCCAGCAATGTCCCCAACATTAAGGCCCGTATTACAGAAGGACAACTAATGTTGATCTTTACTTGAGTACAGTTAGAAAGGGATGTCGCTATGTGCTATATATAGCGACATCCTTTTCTAACTATGCTCAAGACTAGATCAATCACTGAGAATCTTTCTATATAATACGGGTCTAAAAGGCTGATAATGATGATGATGAATCTTTTAAGTTATTTTACGATAAGAAAAAGCAATAACCGCTTCATGTGGTCGTAGTCTTAATAGCGGCTCATCACAAAGCTGAGCAGTCACTATTGGAGCGCTCCTTCTTCGCAGCAGATCCCAGCACGAGAGGCATCCATCCCATTGCGTTATGAGCATACAGGAAAACCTGTGAATACAGTATGAAGTTTAAGTAAGTAATCAGTCGGGTAATTATGGTTGAACTTTTATGATTTATTTTTATAAGGAGATATAATTTAAGTTAAGGACTAATTTTAAACAGCGTAAGTAAGTACATAAAAATAATACTCTTGAGAACGAAACCTGTAAAGTATCAGAAACGTAGAAATATATTTAAAAGTATTAAAACAGGCATCGTAAACCCGTTGAAACAGTGTTTTATTTAAGGGTAGTCATACCTCCGTGGCCGAGTGGTTTGTACGCCGGGTTTTATGGTGTCACCGGTGGGGGCAGATGTTTGTGTGATGAATACGAGAATTTGTACTCCAGTCATGGATGTTGAATATGTATTTCTATATAAATATACTATTTACATAGAACTATTTACATTCTATCCGTTACCCTAGTATCCTATAACACAAGTCTTACAGTGTATACTTTGGGGATAGGCTAATTGGTGTGTGTGTGTTGAAAAAAAATGGATGCAAGCTTGGATTTCATAAAATGTCAATCGTCTTATCGACCCTTTAATAGTTAAATAGAGGAGCTTGATGGCGCAGGTGGTTAGAACATTCGGCTGCGATCGTCGAAGTTAAGCAACTTTCGCAGTGGCCGGTCATTGGATGGGTGACCAAAAAATTACTATCTCGAACTCCTTAACGCAGGCACGTTAAGCACCCACCAATCCGTACTGGGCCCGCGTGGTGGGTCATGGCCTAATCTCCCTATTCCATCGATAGGGAAGGCCTGTGCCCCCGCAGTGGGGACATTAATAGGTTGATGATGAAGACGATTACTTAAATTGGATTTCGTTTAATTGCCCTTGTTTGATTTAAGTGTACCTATTTACCTGACGGGGTTCCAAGCGCCATCCGTGAGTTTAGTGCGATGCGAGTAAGTCCACAATACAGCGGACTCGCGACAGTCTTCACTCCATACTCTGGCAGTCCAGTCACCGACAGTAAGGAAGTTCTTCAAGAACGTGGGATTCCTTTGTAGTGAGTATACCGGACCAAGATGAGCTTCGTACTACACCAAACAATGTAAGCAAAAGGTGGTAGCATACATATAGTGGCGGCGCTAGGCGTCGGTGACGTCGGCCACCGCCGACGACCTCGCGCCTGAGGGGGCCTCGCAAAAAATTTTTACAAGTTATCTATTTATTTTCGTTTCTCCTGGCCTGGCTTAGGTAGCCGACCCCGAACAATTCGGTGAAAAAGCTAAGCAGATGATAATGACTTTTATTATTTTCGAACACGTGCGTGATGGAAGCGAACTACGCACTTTACGGGTATTCAGAATCGTCTGTCTGGCAACACTATTTTTGTAATTAAATTTCTATGTTTGTAATTATTTTTTGTCATCATTTGATTATCAACAATAAAACTCGTTTACTCATACGTTATTTTATAATTTGGCTCACTTAATTTAACGGTTTTTAACTGCGAAGTAAAATAGGCCTCGCGCACTTGATGTCCACATATGGCCTGGCGCCGCCATGCCACTGCATACATATCAACTAGGAAAAGGTAGGCTTGTTGAATATATATCGATACATCGATATAAAATAACCAATATCGAAATTCGTATCAAAATCGATATTTTTTTAAATATTAGCGGTATATCACGATCCAACTAAATTCGTATCTGGAAAAATCATAACTGGATCTCAGATTAAAGATATTCAACATATCTATGATCTGTGCTGTATTTAGTACTGTCTATGATTTATAAATCTGTTTCGCTGGTGAATTGGTTGTGCTGAATTTCATTATATTCTGTGGAAGTGTGTGACTGTCTAGTCTTGTTTGCAAAAGATGGCACCTGAGAGGTCCTGCAATCATTTTCATCATTCGAAAATAGGGTCTATTTTAGGTAGATAATTTTCGTTCCATTATTATTCCGCGTGTCATCTTTCGTGAGATACTGTACTGTCATGTAGTGTAGCTGCAATTTGGTACTTTGATAATTCTTTCTTTAATTATAATCTGTATTGTAATTATTACTGTGCTAGGCTAGGGCTAGGCCCTAAAATTTTTGCGAAAATTGGTCCGATATATCGATGTTTTTTTCGCGATATATCGAAGCCGATATTGATATTTTTTAAAATATCGATGTATCGATATATCGATATTTTTTTCAACTTTCGACATCCCTAGGAAAAGGATCGTCACCGTATTAGCTCGGGCCGTTCAGTATTCTTTGTGTGAAACTCTATACTACAACGCAAAACTTGTCCGAGGCAAAGCGATTCCGTTACGCTTTCGATTAGTGTGCGTTGCAGTAGACAGTTTCCTACAAAGATTACTGAACAGTGACGATTTCTTTCCGAGTTGATAATAAATGGTTGCTAAGAACATTAGATAGGTAAATTACATTCAAAAGTAACTGACGCCCAAGCACGAATTTTGACAGCTCCATAATCGTATCGCATCGACAGTTTCTATGAAAGCTAAGCAGCACCCTATAGGATGTAAGAACAAACTAGCCTTTTCCACACAAAATTGACGATGATTCCGGAGCTGTCAAAATTAATGCTTGGGCACAATACATACAAGAGCAGTAGCGTAACTCAGCCGTTTTCTTGAAATAGATACCTACGACTGAGCGGAGCGCTAGGGTTGGGACCTACAAAATGTAAAACAGATTTGTGTTGATTTTTATTCTATGTGTATAGTTACTATTGCCACGTTACGGAAACGAAACGGAGGCAGACGGCGCGGGCGGCGCGACGCAGCTAACTTAACTCGACCAACCAACGACCAGTCTCGGTGGCGCGCGACGTGGCACTGCGTAGGTTTGTCTTGCCAAGATTGGTTAACGGCCGTGTAAATGACGTTAGTCTGTGTGCGTGCGTCGATTCGGGTGCTGAAGAAGAATGAAGTCAGAGTACTGCTCTTGCATGTATTGTGGCTTGGGCCTCTTCGCGCGATGTTTTTTGTAAAAATTGGGTAGGTATCACACACCTTAGAAGGAAGTTTTTCCACGGCATTTTTACCCTTACGATTGCCTCCTATCACAAGTCCAGTTTCAGTCCCCACCATGAATCTGTGAAAATGTTGATAAACATAAGTAATACTTATGTAGCAAAATTATGAATTTAATGTATGTTTCTGTACTACCTAGTTGGAATAGTTGGTTCATATTCTAGTGCGGAGATCCCGATTGCTCTGTCGATGCTAGGAGTATCGGTTGGATTTTTAACAATGTCTATAATCATGGAATCCGTAGGTTCGTTCATGTTTCTTGTATCCCACCTGTAATATTTGAAATACCATTATTTTACTTAGTTACATTCCTTAATATTTCAGTCTGTTATATAGGTTTCGTCTATAATTCAAAGTATAAGTCTGTGTCACACCACCGAACACAAAAGGCGTCTGCGCCTTCGTGGGTGATCAAACATTTTTTATCTAGAGGTCTTTTGTTTCTGGAGTACACATTAAGTTCGTTACTCCCGGCTTTATCTGAAGTCGTTGGTATCCACCTATCGTCCGTTTGAAAACTCATCAGCAGCGACCTTGGAAAGTTAATGACGCTGTTATCTATACTCACATTGATTATAAAATAAATAAATTAAGTCTGTGTCTGCTACGCATTCACGCTTTAACAGCAGGACCGATTTCAATGAATTTTGTTATGAATACCTCAGATAAGCACATAGAGACTAGTACCCAAAATATCTAAATATCTGTGATAAAGACTACGTTTTGACGTGAATATTTAGCTTCTTGAGGAGAAATAGGTAGGTGATAACCATTTTACTACACCGTCTGGTGAAGATGAGAAAAATTCCGCCCCAATTTTGGTATTGATGAAGAGAACATTTCTAACTAGATCCCTGTGCGCACTGTGGGGTGCGCATATGCCCGCCGGTTCGCCTCCTTTACGCATATCCCACCAGCCCACCTACAATAAAATAATGCAAGTATGTTGAAGTACGCTTCTGAAGTTACCAATATTCTAAAGAGGTAAAGTTTGGAAGGTAAGTAAGTATATTATTGTTCCATGCACAAAAACACAGAAAGAGGTCCATGCCTCGGGGAAACACGTGTGTATCGTATTAATGATGATTCTAAAAGTTTAAAGCTGACCTACAGTAAGCAAAAAGAGCGATAAGATGCCGTCGGAGATATCGATATCGTTTAAGGGCCATGTGCTGAGTATAACAGGGTTACAGTGAGTGTGAAGGAGCTTAGTATGGGTATACTTCGTACCTGTCCGTTAAACATCCCTCCGATGAGTATATTCTGGTCTCGTGGATTGTATTGTAAATCCAGCAATGGCTGAGGCGGTCTTATTATCATTTCTGGTGCATTTGCATTTTCTGTAAAATGACATTTATTACCATGAATAATAACTAGGTATCCACGCAAGCCATTTGACTTGAACTATTTGGAATTCAAACCTGCATTGACATTGATCTGAAACTGCATTCGTGTTCGGGTAGGATTTAGATGAGTCTCTACAGGATCTCGCCCGATTATAGAGGAGTAGATTAAGGAGTGGTTTTACCTGGTACTGGTAGGTACGTACTCTATAGGACTACTGACCATTTTCCTAGACAATAGTTGTGATCCACTAGGGCTGAAAGGCAGGTGGAACTTAAGGTCCGGTGCGGGCGAGTAGTCTCAATCACAACACATCATGCAAGATAGCACATAGCATCGGCTTGTTGGTCAATTGGTTAGAGCGTGTTGCAGCATGGACATACTTAATTTTTTATTAAATTTTGCTTCATGCAAAATTACTCCTGTTGTAGCAAAACGGGAGTATGGATATGAATAGCAGTTATTCTAATGACGAACGATTAGGATATTGATTTCTAGAGAAATTTTCCGTGTTTTAAATAAGAGAAGACTTACCTATATCCCAAATGTAGGAAAATTGTGGACTTCTATGATTCCTAGTTAGGTCGACATCAGCATGTGCAGTAGCCAACTTAGCGCCACCATCGGCTTGCCAAGACAGAGAACGCACTGGCCTCCTAGCTCCAGGCTCTCTGTACACATTCACTGTTTGACAACTGCTCCGCTCCACTGGCGATATAGTAGGCAGCTCAGAGTAGTATATTTGATACATATCCAATGCATTGTTTTGGAGAATGTTATGTTCCATGCTCTGCCAGAAAAAAGTTCTTTTGATGATTACTTGTCAATGATGGTAGTAGGATGCTTTAGGATTGCTTAAAAATACTTACATTTCCCAAATGCATTACAGCGTGAATGTAAGCATCGTCTTTTTCTATTTTGCGTCGATATCTTTGGGTGGCTTCAGGGTCAGACATATTGATATCCTTTGGCCAACCACCTTCGACATGATTTACTCCAGAACACGAATACTGAGACCTAATTATTGATTAAGATTATGAGAAAGCTAAAAATTAAAGGCAGTCATTTCACATGTTTTTTTATATTCTAGTTTTTATTAGGGTATACCGCATTCATGTATTTATGTGTCAACAAATTGCTAAGTGTTGATAAGGTTTTGGAGCCATGACACCTACTTACAGTTACAAAATAAGTTTGATATGTATCAATAAAGAACAGACCTTTCGGAATTGACCCAATGTTCAGAAAAAGACTTCGTATGTTGCACAGCAGAGTGGACTGGGTTTCGGAGAACATAATTCTTAAAAATTGCTGGATTGCTGGGTATGCTAGCTCGTATCTCTGGGCCATGGTCTCCGAATAACGTCTGTTTGCCAAATTCCTTCCTTCGTCTAGTATATTCGTATGTGTGGTCGGCTTTCTCTTGTTTTTCCATGTTTAGATGGATTGTGATGATACGGTGTCAAGCAACGATTGTGTGATCAATATTTTAATATTGAAGACGTCGGCATCGCGTCTTAGCAACTGAAATGCCTTAGTTCATGTGGCTCAGTTGCTAAGATGCATTCTTTTGTAGTAACACTGATAAAAGGATATTGTTATTAGTTACCTAATCCCTTTAAAGTTTAGTAATAAAAAGAATTTCAGTGCGTGACGTTTCCAACTTTCATTCAGTGGACCTTGCGTTTTGCCATATCGTAAGTCCTATCCTATCAATAAAAGTCATTATTTTGTGTTATATTTTTATTAAAGTAATCAAGTCATCTACTTAAAAGTTAACATTTATCTACGAAACGAAATAAAACGTAAAATCAACTTTTGTGAAAATTACACTTTATTAATTTGAGAGAGAACTTTTGAGGTTGTTATTAAAGTAATCAAGCCACACACTTAAAAGTTTACATTTATACACATTTGTCTACGAAAGGATATAAAACAGAAAATAAACTTTTGTGAAAATTACACTTTATTAATTTAAGAGAGTACTTTTGGGGTTATACTTAGTTTGATTGAATTAATAATTTACAATCTTTATACATAGTATGGTAGTAACTCTCGCGAATTTAAGGGTAAAGGGTTTGCAAAAGAAGCGTGACCTTGAACTAACATTTATGAAAAGAAGAGGGGCTTCGTAGGGCTAGAACTAACATTTTTCATCGAAAAAAAAGGTAAAATAAACTTTAGTGAAAATTTCGTTTTATCAATTTGAGTGAGAACTTTTGAGGTTGTGGTTTGAATGAATTATTCACAATATTTGTCACTTTCACTAATATAAGGGTATAGGGTCGGCAGGGGAAGCGCGTCGTAGGGCTAGAACCAAGAGTCGCGGAGGAGCGCTCGCGAGCTTAACGCTGCACTGCTCTAGTAAGACCCTCCATCGGAGCGCTGCGCGGTTCTCTGGCGTCATAGCTTTCATTTCTGCACACTGAAAAGTTTTTATGTGCACATAGTAGAAGATTCGAACCTACATCGACCTTCACCGAGCTGTTAATAGAATGAAACATATTTTATCATGAATTTAGTATATCTATCTTTATATATATAATTCTTCTGTGAGTGTGTATGTCACTGAACTTCTCTTAAACGACTGGACCGATTTTGATGAAATTTTTTGTGTGTGTTCAAGGGGATCTGAGAATGGTTTAGATTCACAATTTTGTCCGCTGGACAACCCCTATTTTTTTAGGGCGGTACGAAGTTCGCTGGGTCAGCTAGTATATATATATAACTCAAAAGTGACTGACTGACATAGTGATCTATCAACGCACAGCCCAAACTACTGGACGGATCGGGCTGAAATTTGGCATGCAGGTACAGGTAGATGTTATGACGTAGGCATCCGCTAAGAAAGGATTTTGATCAATTCTACCCCCAAGGGGATAAAATAGGGAATGAAAGTTTGTATAAAACTTTGTCAATTTTAAACCGATTGGGCTGAGACTTTGGATGCAGGTATAAGAAGAATCATAGATAGATGTATAGCATTGTGTATAAATACAAGCCTGAGAACAAAAACTGTAGTCTACACTTCAGCTCTACACCGAAGCGAAGCGAGGACGGGCCGCTAGTAAGTCAGGACAAAATTTTGTAACTATCTTATGTTGTAATATTTAATTAATTTTTTTTTTAAATTAATTGAAAATAGTCCGCCCAGCATTTTTTAGGCTACCCATTTTTGATATCTAATATATAAAATTCTCGTGTCGCGGTGTTTGTGGTTAAACTCCTCCGAAACGGCTCGACCGATTTTTCAGTATTCAGTAGTATAGTATAGTAGTATTCAGTAGGTCTGAGAATCGGACAACATCTATTTTTCATCCCCCTAAATGTTAAGGGTGGTCCCTACTTAAACAATTTTTTTTGGACCATCATCATACAAAAATACATACAACCCTAAATTTTCACCCTTCTACCACCAACCCCTATTTTTTATGGCGGTACGAAGTTCGCTGGGACAGCTATATAGTAGGTATTTCTATAGATATTCAATATACGGATGGTGACATTGTAATGCTCCATCTTTATATATATAATTCTTCTGTGAGTGTGTATGTCACTGAACTTCTCTTAAACAACTGGACCGATTTTGATGAAATTTTTTGTGTGTGTTCAAGGGGATCTGAGAATGGTTTAGATTCACAATTTTGTCCGCTGGACAACCCCTATTTTTTAGGGCGGTACGAAGTTCGCTGGGTCAGCTAGTACCTATATAAATAATTATAAAAAAGTGGCTTCAGACTTTCTCATTTCAGAACCAATACAATATTAAATAAATAACCCTGTCTGCGCGTCGCGCTTCGCGCTGTTGCATTGCGCAGCCGGGTAAAAAAAAGAACAAGCGCAAGACACAATAGAACGTGACGTAAGCAGTATTCGAAAATTTAAAAAAATCGTAAATTGAATGCCGTAGTATGAAAACCGAGGTTCCCTAAGCGATGCGTGTGGAACTGAATTTTCTTTCATTGAATTTACGTCCTTCAAATTTGTTTGTGTAGCTTTTGTAAAATTGTTTTTTCGTTATATAGTGAAAAGCTCTTCCACTGTTTCCTTTTGTTTATTTGTTGTTAATTTTTCTTTGTATTCTAGATATAAATGCTGATTCATTATATTTACATAGTATTTAATACACCCGTGTGAAGCCGGGACGGGCCGAGTATTTTATAATATACAAAATTCATGATAAAATATGTTTCATTCCACTATCAGCTCGGTGAAGGTCGATGTAGGTTCGGATCTTAGACCAACATATCTATCTAAGGTATCAATGTGAGTGGGTAATCGATTACTAAACATGGTTGTTTTGAACAACATTGAGAGTTTTATGAGAGTTAAAAATGAATGTACGGGTATTTAATGGATTATATTTGTGTGAGAGCGGATGCGCGCAACTTCGTCTGCTTGGAAAAATGGGCTTTCCATACAAACTTCCACCCCCCTTTTCACCTCCTTAAAGGGTGGTTTCTAGGGTAACAGTTATCCTAAGCCATTTCCTGGGACTCAAACTATCTTTATACCAAATTACATAAAAATTTTATAAATCAGATAGATTTCATTCATCTAAATCGGTTTAGCGGTTTAATCGTAGAGAGGTAACAGACAACTCACTTTCACATTTATAATATTAGTATAGAGTATGGATGTAAGTATGGATGAATATGGTTTAGTAGGTATCAAATTATATGGTGGTGATAGCTTGATATGGTAAGTGTATTCTCTCGGATAGCAAATAGTGTTTGTTTGATATTTTCCTAAACGAAAATGGTCTTATTATCGTATCTCCTTATTATTTTAGTAATATTCTAATACTGATGATACAAAAATAGTTTGATGGATTTAGCTGTCTGTGCTGAAACTTTTTGTGTTTCTATCTCTACTAGTTTAGAGAGATGAGTTTTGAATAACTTACTGTAGATCCGAGTGCATCTTCTAAAATGTTAATTGGAATTCGTGCATTCAATTCGCCAGTATGGTCAGCGAATCGCACACGTAGTTCATCATTTTGGTCCCTGTGCCACAAATAAAACTTATTTATTAGGTAATTGCATATGCCATCGCATTTGTGTGAGACGACAGGGTGCACTATGCGGTTTCGACGGGTTTGAAATATAGATTTTAAAGAAAATTTCTCCCTCGCACGATGATTGGTTAATGGGTGTGCTTCTGATTACGGTTTACCGTCAAAGCTGCAGTATTAAGGTCCTTAAAAATGAGTGTGAAAAAGTATTTCAAGTTCAGCAACATCTTATCGAACTCTTGACCTGGGTGAAATGTAGAAGTAGTAGGGACATCCTCGACGCACCCTCACGATGGCGAAGGAAGGTGTCAAGCCATTTTCAGAAAAAAGAAAGGTCAGCAATAACTGTCTGAATGACATTCCTGCCTTTAGAATTGGAAGCCTTCTCACATAGGCTGCTGTAACCTGGCTGGCTGTTTTTAGTTTGCCACCTAAGTAATTATAAATTCCCAATGGTAGTTATTAAAAAAAGAGAGCTGACTTAGGGGCTGATTGATCGAACACACACTTGAGCGACTGAAGCGGTGCTGCCCACTGAGAGAGCTCGATGGCTCAGCACGATTGTGCGTTCGGCCTGCAATCGTGGAAGTTAAGCAACTTTCACTATGGTCGGTCATTCGATGGGTGACCAAAAACTTATTCCAGTTCTCCGTGCCTCGGAAGGTACGTTAAGCCGTTGCTCCCGGCTGGGTCTGCAGTTGTTAGTATCCGCCAATCCGCACTAGGCCCGTGTGGGTGGTCATGGCCAATCTCCGTATTCCATCCACAGGGAAGGCCTGTGCTACAGCAGTGGGGACATTAATAGGCTTATGGCGATGATGCTAATGTCCTCACGTGATGGGCTCCAGCTCGTCCAAGTCCAGGTATGTCAGGAGGGAGTGTAGCGAGGCACAGAACGGCGCGCCTGTAGCGAGCTGGTCCCGTACTTTATAGCGTCTGAGGGGGCGCTGTCCACAGCCTATATCTACTGCAGTGATGATGTCCTCACGTGATGGGCTCCAGTTCGTCCAAGTCCAGCTATGGCAGGAGGGCATGCAGTGAGGCACAGAAGGGCGCGCTGGTAGCGAGCCGGTCCCGTACTTTATAGCGTCTGAGGCGGCGCTGCCCACAACCTATATCTACTGCAGTGATGATGTCCTTACGTGATGGGCTCTTCTAGTTCGTTCAAGTCCAGCTATGGCAGGAGGGCATGCAGTGAGGCACAGAAGGGCGCGCTGGTAGCGAGCCGGTCCCGTACTTTATAGCGTCTGAGGCGGCGCGGCGGCGCTGCCCACAACCTATATCTACTGCAGTGATGATGTCCTCACGTGATGGGCTCTAGCTCGTCCAAGTCCAGGTGTATCAGGAGGGCGTCCAGCGAGGCACACAACGGCGCGCCGGTCTCTTTACTTTATAGTTTCTGAGACGGCGCTGCCCACAACCTATATCTACTGCAGTGATGATGTCCTCACGTGATGGGCTCTAGTTCGTCCAATTCCAGGTGTGTCAGAAGGGCGTGCAGCGAGGCACAGAGCGGTGCGCCGGTCCAGTACATTATATTGTGTAAGACGGCGCTGTCCACAGCCTATCTACTGAATGTATCAACAGTCTATCTACTGCAGGGATGATGTCCTCACGTGATGGGCTCCAGCTCGTCCAAGTCCAGGTGTGTCAGCAGGGCATGCAGCGAAGCACAGAACGGCGAACCGGTAGGGAGCCGGTCCCGTACTTGAGCGACTGATGCGGCGCTGTCCACAGCCTACATCTACTGCAGTGATGATGTTCTCACGTGATGGGCTTCAGCTCGTCCAAGTCCAGGTGTGTCAGGAAGGCATGCAGCGAGGCACAGAACGGCGCGCCGGTCCAGTACTTTATAGCGTCTAAGGCGGCGCTGTCCACAGCATACCTACTGAATGTATCAACAGTCTTATCTACTGCAGGGATGATGTCCTCACGTGATGGACTCCAGCTCGTCCAAGTCCAGGTGTGTCAGCAGGGCATGCAGCGAAGCACAGAACGGCGAACCGGTAAGGAGCCGGTCCCGTACTTGAGCGACTGAGGCGGCGCTGTCCACAGCGTACATCTACTGCAGTGATGATGTCCTCACGTGATGGGCTCCAGCTCGTCCAAGTCCAGGTGTGTCAGGAAGGCATGCAGCGAGGCACAGAACGGCGCGCCGGTCCAGTACTTTATAGCGTCTAAGGCGGCGCTGCCCACAGCATATCTACTGAATGTATCAACAGTCTTATCTACTGCAGGGATGATGTCCTCACGTGATGGGCTCCAGCTCGTCCAAGTCCAGGTGTGTCAGCAGGGCATGCAGCGAAGCACAGAACGGCGAGCCGGTAGCGAGCCGGTCCCGTACTTGAGCGACTGAGGCGGCGCTGGCTCGTTCGCCGCTCCAACTAGCCCATGCGGCCGCTTCGCCTCCCCCTATTTCCGTATAGGTTAAACGATTTAATTGATCTTACATATGCCGCCTTATTACAAAACGTTGACTATAATTAATCCTGGTCTAAAACTGACGCTGATACTTTTTTTTGCTAAAAAGAAGACAGATTAGGTTTAAACTATGATTAACTTTTAGTCCGCGTTTTGGAATTAAGCGAATTAGGTTGTAATGTGATGGTATGTAATCGGCCCTACTTGATTTTCGTGGGTAATTTTAAACTTCATTGACTAACTTTTCTTCGTCCATCAGATAGTTTATACAAAAGTATCGGACGCGTTTTTTTTTTCTTTTTACACGTAGTCAAAGCATATAAGTTATGTAATATTGATTTGAAATGTCGCATTACATCACATCTACTAGTACAATTTTTACAAGTGGCGTCACGAGCCCCACTCCCACTCTTACGCTTTGGCTGATTGACAAAATCATAAAATTGGTTCTTTAGTTTTTGATAATCTAACTGACAGACTTTTAACCTTTTCATCATCCCTCTATTGCATTTAGATAGACATAAAAAATGAACTTTTGCCAAGCCAAAAACAGTTAGGTACAGTTGATAACTTTAAAAAAAATTAACCCACTATGAAATTAGAAATTCAATAAAAATCTGCATTTAATCTCTTATTTATTATATATGTGTTTGGTATGTGACCACAGTGTTGGTAAATTGTCTGTTATTCATTGATGTAGTGTAGTGGGTATAATGTCAGTACACTGTTCTGGTTGCGCATATACAGCCGCAGACTCCGCGTCGGCGGTGTGTGGTTGGTGCGTGACCACAGTGTTGGTAAATTGTCTGTTATTCATTGATGTAGTGTAGTGGGTATAATGTCAGCACTAGTGTTCTGGTTGCGCATGTACAGCCGCAGACTCCGCGTCGGCGGTGTGTGGTTGGTGCGTGACCACAGTGTTGGTAAATTGTCTGTTATTCATTGATGTAGTGTAGTGGGTATAATGTTAGTACTAGTGTTCTGGTTGCGCATGTACAGCCGCAGAGACTCCGCGTCGGCGGTGTGTGGTTGGTGTGTGACCACATTGTTGGTAAATTGTCTGTTATTCATTGATGTAGTGTAGTGTGGGTATAATGTCAGTACAGTGTTCTGGTTGCGCATATACAGCCGCAGACTCCGCGTCGGCGGTGTGTGGTTGGTGCGTGACCACAGTGTTGGTAAATTGTCTATTATTCATTGATGTAGTGTAGTGGGTATAATGTCAGTACTAGTGTTCTGATTGCGCATGTACAGCCGCAGAGACTCCGCGTCGGCGGTGTGTGGTTGGTGTGTGACCACAGTGTTGGTAAATTGTCTGTTATTCATTAATGTAGTGTAGTGTGGGTATAATGTCAGTACAGTGTTCTGGTTGCGCGTATACAGCCGCAGACTCCGCGTCGGCGGTGTGTGGTTGGTGCGTGACCACAGTGTTGGTAAATTGTCTGTTATTCATTGATGTAGTGTAGTGGGTATAATGTCAGTACTAGTGTTCTGGTTGCGCATGTACAGCCGCAGAGACTCCGCGTCGGCGGTGTGTGGTTGGTGCGTGACCACAGTCTTGGAGCACACTTGCACGTTGACGCCACGTCGCCACGAAACGCGCGCGTCCGCCACAAACAATACGCTTTCTAAAGGACGCCACTCTTCTGCCCTGTAAAATTAATATTTTATATAGTGCGGTGCAAACAGTATGGCAGTTGTGAACCTATCGATGAGTGCAATTGTGCACTGGTATCATGTAAATTGGTTCAGTGAATCTCCGCGCTCACCTGGGACAACTACATTTTACTGGAACGCAACTTGCCGCTAATTACATCACAATCGCCATTAAGTTTGAGTCGCAGCATCTTTACAAACTTAATCAGTTTGAGAAAGTTTAATTTTATTTATTAAATGTTAGGGACTCGTCCCAATTCGAACGGGTCAATTAGCAGGTACCTATTTAACCTCTATGGTCTAGAAGCCTATCATAGACATGGTTTAAAGATAGATTTTATCCTACTAAGACATATTATAAATATGTTTGGATTTTGTTACGTAATCGCGCAAAAAAAGCTAAATGGTTTTGGATGGAATTAGATAGACGCGGGCGAAGTCGCGGGCGGAAGCTAGCTTAATATAAATGTTCGTTTAAGAAGGTATTAAAAAAAGTGTTGTAAAATCGATTTGTACCTTTGTATGACATCAATATCAAACATATCCAAGTTGAGAGAAGCTGGTGTAGTGTTATCGATGATCTCTACACTTCGAACTGTCATTTCCACTCCTGGAAAATATTTTTGAAAAATTGTAGAGATTGGTAAAATGAAAAAAAATCCGTTACCGAAAAAAACAAGGACCCTTTTACTTTCATATACAGGCTTAATCATCTTACCTGTTTTGGTCATGATGGTTTTAACTGGTTTCACGGATTTCACAACCACTAGAAGATCCACGTAAACATTAGTTTCCTCTGAAAATGTTAATGTTTTGTATTTTTTTGTGATAAAGATTTATCATTATAAGTAGGAGTCCTTTGTTTTTACTACTGCTATTTTAAGGTTCCGTAGTTCTGAAAAGGAACCCTTATAGTTTCGTCATGGACGTCTGTCTGTTGTTCCGTCCGAGGTTTTGCTTGGAGACTATTGGCACTAGAGAGTTGCAATTTTGTAGAGATATGAATATGAATCACGGCGACAGAAGTAACATAATATTTAAAAAAATATTTTTTGGGTAGCTCTCCTACATCTAAAGTGGGCATGATTTTTTTTACTGCGTACCCCGTCGCGTGGGTTATCTCTGAATAGGTCCTTAAAAAGGACTTTGGCGTTGCTAAGACTATTTTTCAATTTAGGGATCCGTTTGCGAAATATTAAACTTTAAAATGCTATTTTTTTAACAAGTAGCGCCCTCCCCCATTATAAAGGCTAAACTGTTAGCTTGAAAAATCTGGAAAAAATCGTGATAATAGTGCTTTTCAGGAATTTTTGAGGAAAACTATAACTGTTAAGATATATCAGTTAGTTTAAGAGAAATAGTCGTTCAACTAATGTAATAGAAGTTTTGTTACCTAATAAATATTCCTTAGAAGAAAACATTAAAAGTGACTTGGATGAAGTAATTGCTTACTTATTACGAGTAAAACCTTACATTTAAAAACAAATCTAAAATAAATATATTAAGAAACCACAATAAAATATCTACGGAACGCTACACTGCGCGTGGCACGACACGCACTTGGCCGGTTTTTTTAACTTGGTAACATAAATTAAATGTAAACTGTATAATTAAATATGACCCGTTAGACTCGAGATCATGTGAGTGTTCCTTTATTTTAAATAGTTAACAAAGTTTGCTGCGTTTTCTCCTAGATGCACGCACTTGGCCGGTTTTTTTTAACTTGGTTACATAAATTTAATGTAAACTGTATAATTAAATATGACCCGTTAGACTCGAGATCATGTGAGTGTTCCTTTATTTTAAATAGTTAACAAAGTTTGCTGCGTTTTCTCCTAGATGCACGCACTTGGCCGGTTTTTTTTAACTTGGTTACATAAATTTAATGTAAACTGTGTAATTAAATATGACCCGTTAGACTCGATCCCATGTGAGTGTTCTTTTATTTTAAATAGTTAACAAAGTTTGCTGCGTTTTCTTCTAGATGGGTTTATCAATTGGTTGGTTGGATGGATGGTTTCCCAAACGAGGACCGAGATAATAGTTAAATTTTAATCTCACTTTTACGCATAAATCCTCTGGGACTATCCAGTGATCCTAATTAAGATGACTTTGATTTGATCTTATATAAAAAAAATTGCTCGCTAGAGAATAGCGCGCGAATATAAGGTGGTTAGCGCTTTCGGCTTGCGATCGTGGAAGTTAAGCAACTTTCGCAGTGGTCGCTCATTGGATAGATGACCAAAAACTTACTATCTCGAGCTCCTCCGTGCTTACGAAGGCACGTTAAGCCGTTGGTCCCGAGCGGGTGTACCAACTTTATCGGCATTAGCACCCACCAATCCGCACTGGGCCCGCGTGGTGGTTCCCTATCTCCTTATATCGTTCATAGGGAGTCCTGTGTCCTAGCACTGGGGATTTTATTAGGCTAATGATGATATAAGATTTTTTATTCAAATGACATTAATTTGTGTAGTTGCAAGAAGACAAACACTGACTATTAATAATACCAGCATCGGGGCTTTTGTGAACACAATAACGAACATAAAAACTTATCTTTTACCTTTAAGCTTGAGCACTTCGGCTATACCACAGTAACCCGCAGAAGGTTTCGTGGGTATGTGAAGTAGGGGTAAGTACAGACTGAATGTGTCTCCGCTGTGAATAGTCACATCTGATAATCCTTCGTTCAGCGACAGATAAAACGGGGATGATACCTAAATGTGTGAAATTAGCATTATTTACCTATATTCGTACATTTGTTATGCTAGTGCTACGGTCACATCATCGCGCGAAGATTGGTGTCCCGTTATCGCAATAGAACTTTGACTTCAATCTACGACAAAGCTCACTGGAAACAACATACTGCCCCCATAGCATGAGCATCGCGATATGATATTTAAATAACGCGTTTTTATCACGCTCAAATGTCAAATTACTATGGAGTTTGACAGTTAGGCGCGATAAAAAACGTGATATGATGTTAATTGTGTTGCCATGCTACGGGGACTGGTCATATTTGGAAAAAGCACCACGATAATTTTGGCGGGAAGGTTTGGCTACAACCCAAATGCGCTAGCGCGATAGTGTGTGCACTGACACTGCATTACATTAAGAACCTAAATATTAAAGATAATAGCACTGTTAAAATTGAAAAGATGCGGTAATGTGCCCTGCGCTAATATAACCAAAAATTTAAAGTGTAAGTAATAAAGAAAATTCAATTTTAGGTTAAAATTTCAGAAGGAAGTAACCAATATTTGGCATAGCTATATATACCAAATACATATTATTTTTTTTCTAAACCACGTACCTGAGGTCTATACATCTCATTTTCACCACTTTTTACACAAATTTTTGGAGACGAAATTTCAACTGAAAATAAGTTTTTTTAATGTTAAATTAAATCTGTGCTTTACAGAGAAAGTAGTATGGTAAAACTGTACTTCCAGGGCCCAAAAGGTGATACTTGTTTTTTTTTGTAGAATAGGTCTTTTTAACAGTTTTTTTTTCTGGCGCTTCGCCGGCCGCTGCCGCGGCAAGCTCGCTTTGCTCGCTCGGCTCGCGCGTTACACCAACACCGTTGGTCACAACACTAACCTAACCTAACCTAGTGTGAAGTATCACCACTTGATAAGAAAAGTAAAAAATTTCAATATTTTTTTCTAAAAAACTACCAGTGCATAAGTGTGACATTTTTTTTAATAATGTGGTTAACAGAAACCTTTTTAACAACAAAAATGCGAAATTACAACCAACAAAACTGTGAAGTTTTTACTTTTGGGCCCTGGAAGTACAGTATATCCAGTAGTATGTATAGATCATGCTATCAAGCATTACAATACGAACCTACATCTCCCACAAGAAACCTTTCGTAAAATGTAATAACAAAGTATTGGGAGCCCCATACATCAACGTTTATAGTATCGATGTCTGAATCTCTCAATGTAAAAGATGTAACTCCTCTCGAATCACCGTTTTTCTTTTTACTTCCTATTGTACGGGGACTGTTTTTTGCTATTATTATGCCGATTATTAATGCATTCCTAATATTTGTGTTTAAATTATTTAGCCGAACTTTTTGAATACCCGCCATTTTTTATGTTAGCACCGGAAAAGAGACCGGAAATCACAGGGCGGCGTTCCAAATCTACGCTCTGGACCAGTTTTTACATAAACTTAAGTGGCTTCCACACGATACAATTTTAAGTCCAATTTGATTAGATTGACAATCGAATTGTGTGTGTGGACGGAAATATGAAATTGAAGGTCATTGGATGGTCGGTATCGAACGATTCGGGATTGCCCAATCAAATTGGGTGGTGTGGACGCTAACTGGCCAATTTTTTAACGTAGTCACTGTGCAAGCGGCGTTCACAGCGGGTGTGTGCGTTGACTTGTCTTTTGAGAAGAAGATGGAGCAACATGACGTCAATGTTATGTCTATTCGATCTGAACGGGAAGTAATGGAGGAGATTTTAGATATATGTAAAGGTTTGCCATGCCTTTGGGATGTGTCTAACCCATTATATAAAAATAAACAAGCAAGGCATAATTCCTTAGAGATTTTGCGGAATAAGTGGAAAAATATTGATAAAAATATTACTGTTATAATTTTTATTATTTTTAAAGCATGTAACTGCTTGATGTTTAAATCTAAAGAAAATATAACTAAAAAAAAATTCTACGTGGACCAGGCAGTTATTTGTTATTGAAAATAAAAAATCAGTTAAGGGCTGGGGTAAAAAAGAAATAATATTATATTTATTTTTTTATAATTTTTATTTTTTAAGCATGTAATTGCTTGATGTTTAAATCTAATGAAAATATAACTAGAAAAAAATCCACTGCCGGGTCAGCAGACGGGACTCGAACCCGCACCCTTCGCAATCCGGGCGAATGCACTGACCAATTATGCTACCGCGGCCCTCACGGACCGCGTCGAAATTCTTCCAGCCATTCTTAAGTTGCAAGGCAGCGCCATCTCTTCGCATCATAGGTAACCCACAATGTCAAATGAATACTTTTACAAGTATTAAACATTTGAAAGAAGAAATAGCAATTATAGTTATAATTTTTATTATTTTTAAAGCATGTAACTGCTTGATGTTTAAATCTAAAGAAAATATAACTCAGTTATATTTTAAAGGGTTTTCGAAGGGTTCGAGTCCCGTCTGCTGCCTGGTCCGCGTGGATTTTTTTCTAGTTATATTTTCTTTAAAAATATTACTCTTTAAGTTATAACTATATTTAAGTTTATTAATTGAGTCACTTAAATATAATATCACTACATTTAAGTGCCACTATTGCTTTCTTTTTAATAACCATTGTTTTGTCCGCAGTCTTCTTTTTCTTTTTTTTCTCATCTACATTTGTAGTTAGACCCAAGATTAATCCAATTTTTTGCTTCTTGGTAAGAGGCATCCTAATACAAACAAGTCCGTTCAGAAGAGGCAACAAATAAAACTGAAATTGGCGATCTTGTTGTGTATGTGTAGACGGACGACCAGATTGTACCAAATTCAATTGGCAATCAAATTGTGTCGTGTGGAAGGGGTTTTACATAAACTTTTTTTTAGGAACTATTTTTGAGGAGCTCGATGGCGCAAGTGATTAGCGCGTTCGGCTGCGATCGTTGAACTTAAGCAACTTTCGCAGTGGTCGGTCATTGGATGGGTGACCAAAAATTACTATCTCGAGCTCCTCCGTGCTTCGGAAGGCACGTTAAGCTGTTGGTCCTGGCTGCATCTGCAGTCGTTAGCACCCACCAATCCGCACTGGGCCCGCGTGGTGGGTCATGGCCCAATCTCCCTGTTCCATCCATAGGGAAGGCCTGTGCCCCAGCAGTGGGGACATTAATAGGCTGATGATGACATAAACTTTTACGTCAAATTTGACATTTGTTGCACGGAGCTAGCAGCGTAGGTTTGGAATGCACCACAGTATAATGGATCTCACAGACAGAGGCGGCCCGAGGCCGCGGCTAACCCTAATTGGTCGCTCGAGTTTGATGGTTTGATCACGCACTTGTGCGCATTGCAAGCGAATGCAACGTATACAACTTAGAGGTGGGTTACACGATCAGTATGGCATTAGTTCAGTCCATCAGTCCAGCCTGATATCAGACTGATGGACTGATAGACAGATTATACGGTCAGTTCAGACTTATGACAGTCTTCCCAAGAACTTAGTCGCATGTGAACGTATTACGTGAAAAGCCATGGATCAATCTAAAAAACTACTATACACAACATAATAAATGGGTCTGCCACGCCGTCAATAAGTTTGTTCTATGACGTTTGGATTATGATTTTAATTTCTGAAGTCTAATTTTCATTTGTTACTTTATGTATAAGACTGATTTTTAAGTCTGTTTTTTATTTTATTACGAAACAAATCTGTGATTATGAGAATTACGAATGTTATCATTAGGACCAAATACTAAATATTATTTATAATAGTTATTAAGAATTAGTATGATTGTTACTAAGATTATAACTATAGGAATTTAAATGCACAAAAGTGAATATGTGATTGTAAGAAATAAACATACTTGACAACATTCTATTTAGACTGAACTTACCGTAAAAAAATATTAGGATTTTATTTTATGTTTACTAAATATAGATTTTTACTAAAAAGTGCCTTTAATAAAACGTTTTACCAGAAATTAACTCAATACAAATGTAATTATTAAAAGTCTCGAAGTTTCGGGTGTCCTTACTTCGTCGTGGGGAGATCAAAGGTACAGGCGGCCGTGTTCATCCATCGCTGTCCGAGCTGTGACTGACGCAAAGAGTAAAGTAAGTATACCAAGGCTGAAGTAGGCTTGTTGAAAATATATCGATGTATCGATATTTTTTGCCGATATATTTTGATTCGATATATCGATACAAAATAACCAATATCGAAATTCGTATCATAAACGATATTTTTGAAGTTATACTTCTTTAGGCGCGTTATAAAAAAATTATGAGGGTGAAATTTTAAGATGCGCGCGCATCTGTAACACAAAAAATTAACACCATGGAGTTGGTCGCTTTAGCGACCATTATTATTATTACCATTATTTATTTTTTCAAATTAAAACTGAACTTTATTGACTGTGTCCTTTTCCAGACTTTTTATTAATTTATTGTAATTAATTATTTGCATGCAATTAAAAACTAATTTTAAACGATGCCAAAGAAGGATAACTTCTCACGCGCCTACATAAGTACACGCACCCATTTTTTTTAATTATTAGCGGCATATCACGATTTAACTAAATTCGTATCTGGAAAAATCGTAACTGGATCTCAGATTAATGATATTCAACATATCTATGATCTGTGCTGTATTTAATATTGTCTATTATTTGTAAATCTGTTTCGCTGGTGAATTGGTTGTGCTGATTTCCACTATATTCTGTGAAGTGTGTGACTGTCTAGTCTTGTTAACGAAAGAGACTCTGCAATCATTTACCTGAGAGGCCCTGCAATCATTTTCATCATTCGAAAATAGGGTCTATTCCGCGTGTTATATTTCGTGAGCTACTGTACGATATTTTTGGGAAATTGGTCCAATATATCGATATATCGATGTTTTTTTCGCGATATATCGAACCCGATATTGATATTTTTTAAAAGATCGATGTATCGATATATCGATATTTTTTTCAACTTTCGACATCCCTAGACTGAAGACAACGTGTCACACGATCAGTTTTCCATCAGTCTATTCCGGACTGATGTAAAACATCAAAATATATAAAATGCTGTCAGTCCGACCTATCAGTCCATCAGTCAACGCATTACACGATGGACTGAACTGGTCGCAGACGTCGACATGCAAACTCCAAATAATCAGCTAATGTCGGGTGGCTGTACCACATACGTCCTTTTATTAATAAACAATGAATAAGCTTAGACTAGTTACGCCATGTTTTGTTCATGCCACGCAAATGCCATTTGTAATTCAATGAACAGAGACAAAACATGGAGTAACTAAACCAAGTTATTCTTCGTTACTTAATAAGGGGGAATGTGACGCATATTTCATTAAATAGGTATCTTCAATAAATACAGATACTACATTTAGACTCAACTGGACACGGCCACTGGACATACTCACAATTTTTACAAAGGAAGGATAATGGTATGTTTTAATGCAGTATTCTAATATAAGTACCTATTTCCAGATTTATTCATAGAAGTAAGTAAAATGCAAAAGAATCTTACAATTGAACAGTAAGAATCTAAATTATAAAAGAAAAAATAAACTAAAGAGTAGGTTGTACATGGGCTGTAATTAGTTTCATATGCTTATTCTAGGTAAGAGAAAATTTTTTTTTTATTCTGTGGTGAGTTAAAAAAAATACTCTTTTGCCCGTCCCAACCATGTACAGGGATAAATTGACCAAAAAAAGGAATCTTTGGACTTTTTGGCATGATTTCATAGATTGCGGGTGGCGTCTTATTTTAATTATTCTTAAATTCGTTAATTCCTTCATAGTGGATATTGTGAAACAAAATTGGTATGACTTTGTGTTACAACCGTCTGCGCAACTGAAAAATTAGTGAAATCTTTAAAATATACGCTATTCCGGTCAAGTGACCGTGAGAACTTTATTGTAGTGTTGACTTCCTCAAAGAAGCCTATCGAAAAAACCAAATCGTTACATTTCGTGCCAAACACTCCTAGAAACATTAGAATGCGTCACACCGACATTCTAATGTTGGGAATGACTATTAAATAATATATAAGAAGATTAATAATTAATATAACTTAAGACTAGGCTATATGGGCATTGTCCCCTATGCCTTCCCTTAAATGGAAGAATAAAAAAAAATATACAAAGGTGGTTCTGTTTGTTTTTAAGTTGCTAATGGCGCTTAAGTTTTTTGGCGGGATTTCATCGAGTGCGGTTGGCGTTTTATTTTAATTATTCTTAAATTCGTTCATACAATATCCACTATTGTGAAATAAAATTGGTGTGGTTTTGTGTAACAACTGTCTGCGTAACTGAAGAATAAGCGGAATCATTAAAATATACGCTATTCCGGTCAAGTGGACGTGAGAATTTTATTGTAGTTGTGACTACCTCACAGAAGCTTATCGAAAAAGCCAACTCGATACATTTCGTGCCAAACACTCCAAGAAACATTAGAATGCGTCACACCGACATTCTAATGTAAAAACAAAAAGAAGATCAACTGTATGGGCATTGTTCCCTTTGCCTTCCCTAAAACGGGAGAACCACAGAGTACCTTATTATAGAGAACTTCAACAAAAAAAAAATGGCGCCTAACCTAAAATCTTAATTTAAATAAATCACATTCTAAAATTTTGTATACGCGCTTAGGATTAGAAAAACTCAAATCTCAAAATGTTATTTAGAGCTGAAAGCAGTTCCTCTACAAATTCACAAAGCGATTTTTTGTCCCGAGAAGTTGAACGACATTCTCTAGATTATACTGATTGTTCCAATAGATTTTATCAAGTATCTCGGGACTTTTCTAAGCAATATGCCTACATTTACTCTTCTAGACTTAACACGTATAGAAATATCTTGTTACCAGTCATCAGGAAAAAGTGGTCAAATACCTATAAAATTTTAAAGCTGTGCGATCTTCGTGATAAGTATACTACGTGCATAATCATCGGAACATTGTTCAAACTTCAACAATTGAAGCCTAGTATTCTGAAACAACTATCTGATCAATTGGAAATTATACCTCAGCCTGCGAGGTATATCTTTTGCTATAGCATCTGGTGTATATTTTTTTACAACATTTAACTTATTTTTGTATTTTTATTCCAGAACTCATTTTGTACATGAGTCAGATAGTTTGGTGTTAGAAGACGAATTACAGAGGATTAAATTAGTTGGTGATTGTATTGATGTCCATCAAGTTGTGACAGGGGTTGTGTGTGCTGTTTTGGGTAAGAATACAGATCTAAGCATGAAAACCTTTTTTAACAAATGATAATAATCAAAACAATAGGCAGTATAATACTACTATACTATACTAAAATAAAAATTATGAGTATAATCTATATATATAAAACTGAAAGGTGACTGAGTGACTGACATAGTGATCTATCAACACACAGCCCAAACCAATGGACGGATCGGACTGAAATTTGGCATGCAGGTAGATGTTATGACATAGGCTAAGAAAGGATTTTGATCAATTCTACCCCCAAGGGGATAAAATAGGGAATGAAAGTTTGTATGAAACTTTGTCAATTTTAAACCGATCGGCCTGAGACTTTGCATGCAGGTATAAGAAGAATAATAGATGAATGTCATTGTGTATAATACAAAGCCTGAGAACAAAAACTGTAGTCTGCACTACAGCTCTACACTGAAGCGAAGTGAGGGCAGGCCACTAGTAAAGTGTTGTCTTATTCTGTTGTTGGTATTATAACTGTATTATATTTTATGGGTATCTAGCGATTTTTTACATTTGTCCTATTTTCATTGTAGGTTCAGAAGATGATGATGGAGTTTTTACTGTGAAGGATGTGTGTTGGGCAGGATGTCATATACAGAAACCCTTACCCAAGCTAAGTGCGGACAGGTGATGACTTAACATGTATTTGTACTAAATATTCTGCTGCCAATATCAAACTAGGGCACACCTAGGTTAAATTATTATGATTGTGAATGCATTTAAACTAAGATGTAATTTATCAGTTTTTTGTTGAGAATTGAGTTTTGAGAACCCCTTGGTGACATTAGAATACCAGGATAAAGTAATGGATAGATGGACGGAGCCTTAATCAAAAGAATATTTAAGTACATAAAATGAAAATAGCATGATTTTAGTTCCATCACAAATATTAGTCAACATTGGTCGTATTAATTTGCCCTCTTCAGCACTTAATGAGTTCTACTGTAATGAACAACATTTATGGATTGTACCCATGTCTTTTGTATTAATTTCTTGCACATTTTAGGTATGTAGTCCTGTTATCAGGATTAAATATGGCATCAACAAAGGTAGATCATCTCTTTTCTCTTCATTTATTATTGGAATGGCTATCTGGTCTATCAGGAACCAGTCAGTATCAGGAAGAGCTATCTAAAATTGTAAGGGTAATCATTGCAGGTAATACAACCAGTTACTTTACGTACATTCAGGAGTGGTAACTACACCCTATAAATGAAAATGAGTTATTGGAACTTCCTCTTTATCACACAAACAATTACTGCATCACCCAAGAAAGGGGGCTGTTATCAGCTGGAGTAATGACAGCACAGCCCATAATTATTATTACAAATGACAGAATACGCAATTCTAGGTTATTTCCATGTATAGAGTAAAATATTTATGGACCATCATTGGCGAATTTTAAGTCATCTTTGGTTTCAGGTGGTCTATTTGCTAACAATGCAAGCGGTGAATTAAATGAATCAAGTATTATAGATTCTTCAGAATCTGTAGATGCTTTCTGTAGTGCTGTGAGTTCAGTAGCACCTTTGGATCTCATGCCTGGCAGCAAAGATCCAGCTGGAGCAATGCTACCACAGAAGCCTTTGCATTATTGTAAGTTTATTGTGAATTCAACATTAAATCACAGTGATACAACTTTTTCTTGGTAACCATTTCCCATCAGGCGGGCTATATACCTACTTGTATGCCCTTTTAACATAAAAATAAAATAAAAAATATTGCTGTTTTAGGTTTGTTCCCTAAAGCTAATGAGTACAAATCATTCAATAGGGTCTCTAATCCATACGAATGCGATATTGGAGGTAAGTTTGAACTTTCTCATTTTTGAAACAGAATCAATACAAGATTTAAAATGTACCTAAAATAATAAGTTTGTTTTATTTTTAGGTGTGCTTTGCTTAGGAACATCAGGTGAATCTGTAAAAGACATAAAACAGTACAGTAAATTGGAGAGTGACATAGAAATAATGAAAAAGACATTACAGTGGCGCCATATAGCACCTACATGTCCAGACACAATACCATGTACACCTTGTGTGTCGACTGATCCATTTATTATGTATAACTGTCCTTCCATCTACTTCAGTGGTAGTTGTGATGAGTTTTCCACTGATACGTTTGAAGGTTGGTTTGCTTTGTTATTCTTATTTATTAAATTTATTAAAACTGGCCAGATGCCAGTAGCTCATACAGGCCCTTCACTTGGCTATTTGTGTTTGTTATTTGTGAACTTTTTCATTTCTTATAAAGCATGAGAAGGACAGACTTTTGTCAAGTTTACAAATAGCAAATATGAATAGCCAAGTGAAGTGCTGGCATCAGAAACAATGAAAAATGTACCTTGTCTCATATCGTCATTCCTGTTGTGTCACTGTCGTCAAAATTATCCTATTTTTTTTTATGTTACAGGTGATGATGGTCAACGAGTGAGATTAGTGTGTCTCCCTGATTTTTGCTATACAAAGACTGTAGCTTTGGTTAATATGGGCAATCTCGAGTGTTACAGCATGACATTTTCATAAAAGCAAATTGCATAATTTAGAACATCTTGTCTTCGTTAAACATTAAAAAAATAATTGATCCTAATTCCAGATTGTGTAATGTATTTTTTTTAGTTCCTTTATCAATAAAGTGTAGACAATAAACGGTATACCTAGTTATGATTTAATTCCAAATATTTTTATTGGGAATATAAATAGGTGTAATAGTATTATACACTCTATTATTAACTGAACAGCCCGTCACACGTAGCTATAATATATATTAATATATCGAAATATATATTATATTATAGCTAACTACCACAGACGGGAGCTATACTATAATATATATTTTGCCCTCACTCGGTCTGCGGTCGTTTTTGCAAGCGCACGGTTTTAAAGCTTATTTTCTAGCACAGGGTGTTTTAATTTTGAAATAACGTTATAATCAATCTTGAACAATGAATGAATGAAATGAATTCGACAAGAGCACTACTTTTAGATTTAATTGAAAGTTCCTCAGAGGATGATTCCGATGCTGAATTTGATATGCATGTTGCCTTGTCAGGAACGAAAAATATAACCATCTGGGTAGAGTCGCATATAAAACTAAAGAAAACTTGTGGTGAATTTAATTTGTATCGTGTTTTGTCATCCAATAAATTTGCACAGTATTTTAGGAGAGCGACGGTGGGGGAGAAATGCTCGTGCGCACTTGAGCCGGAGATCGGGCAGTCGTTAAGAGAAAAGTTGAACATTCCGTATTAAAAATATATACTAATATGCCAAAATACACAGACGTAGCTATAATATATATTAATATATCGAGATATTATATTAAACAAACTACCACAGTCTGGAGCTGTACTATAATATATATTTTGGCAGGCGTTCGGTGAAAAATAGAACATCGCGTATCATAAAAATATATCAAAATATATATTAATATGGCAAAATATACCCTAGTGTGCCAAAATATATCTGTCGACATATTTTGGTGACGTCATAGAAATATATATTATAGCTGCGTGTGCGGTCACTCGAAAATTTATATTGAAAATATGTTGTAATATGTCTTGCTATGATTTATATTAATATATATTATAGCTACGTCTGTGACGGGCTTTAGTCTTCTAACAAATAAATGAATAAAAAATAGCAACTATCACCAAATCAGTTCCTACCTACAAGTATAGATAGAGTGCTTTTCAAACTTAATGGTGTAGAAAGTTAGCAGCAAGCGCCGATCATTCTCAGAAGATCCATGATGGATCTAGATCCATCATGGATGTGGTGGATCTAGATCCATCAGGGGTGTGTGATGTTTTATCTCTAGAGATAAAACATCACACACCCCTCGCGTAACACATCCGCCGTTAAGTTTCAATCTCGCTATAAAAGCATAATAGAAATCAGAAATTGCTCAAAGACAGCATTAAAAACTGATATTTACAGTGAGTTGTTTTTTCAGGGTTCCGTACCCAAAGGATAAAAATGGGATCCTTTTACATTTTATTTGATACCTACTACTCCACTTTGGGCGTATCCGATGTTCCAATATTACAATAACGACTGCTTTAAAAGAAAGTAAGGCCTGAGTGAGGTATCACTCCACTACATCTTTCTCTTCCAGAAACTCAGTACCTGCCGGGCTTGTCAGCCTAGAACCAATAGACATCCATACAAATCTCTCCAAGCTCTATAGGGTACCAGGGTACAAAGTCTGTAAAATATTCTAATAAAGTTGACGTGGCGATCGAAGGTGGAAGAGCGGCTGAGCCATTGTTCTAGGTACTTGGAGAAAGCCAGTGGCATTTTCATTTCACGAAATCACTCCCACATATTGCAGGAAAGCGATAGGAAAGATGTTACATATATAAAAAAACAAATGAATGAGTGTTGTTGTTCATTGTAACGTTGTTCGTCATTGATTTTGAAGAAAGTTCTGCCTCGTGACGAGTGGCGACTCATAACTGGATCCCGCAGTAACGCCTGGAGGGTGAGGGGTAAATCGGGGAGTTCGTTTACCTGGTCTCCGTGTTACTAGTCAGATGACGCTGCGAACGGAAAAGCCCAGGATCGGCTGAAGCGGGAGCGGGTCGGGCTGCTGGTCGGAGGAGGGTGGCTTGACGTCTGCCACGCTGGCGTGAGCGCACGGCAAAGTATACCTGCACCGACTAGTGGCCAACGGGCTGCCCGCCGCTGTCCAAATGCACCACGCAAATACCTGCGTCGCGAGGGTTTGGTAACAGTAAACGGCGTTGGTCATTGCCGCGGATATAATGCATTTTTTCTCCCCGTCCGTCATCGAAAAAAAGGTAATGGTATCGATTCTGGTATGATTCTCTAAAGCTAAGCTAAACTTAAATTTGACAACAGTGTACCCCTGTCATTCTCTATACAGAATGAAAAGGACAGACTTATCTTAAATTTAGTTTCAAGTTTAGAGAATCCTGCCAGAATCGATACCACTACCTATATAGTTAGTTTTTATTTCCGCGCATTATTTGAGGTAAAGCACTATACAAGCCACAACTAGGCATTGATGGACTTACGTATGTTACACGTTCGAACTTCAATGCCACTTTTGCTGGTCGCTGCAGTAATGGTCCTTCGAGGTAACAGGGCAAGAAATTAGGATCCTGTCTGATAGCAAATCAGCCTTTCAAGTCTTAGATGCCTCTAGTCAAATCGAGCCTCCTACAAGAATGCCACCAAACCTTAAACACAATAGGGTCATGGTCATGCAATTCTATTAGTTACTATCCAATGGATCAAGGGACACAGTGGATCACGCGGAAAAGACGCTACAGATGAGCTGGCCCGGAAGAGATCCGATACGACCAACACAGGTTCCGAACCAATTATCCCGGTACCGGTAAGCTGATGGTTCGCCAAAATCCGCGAGCACACAGCTGCACTACACCAGCAACTCTGCTCAATCTGGAGATGTCCAGGCAGACCAAGCTCGCTTTGTCACGGGTGAACAATGCCCTCTCCAAGACTCTTCTACAGCCAAGCAGAACTATATCGCGCATGCATAACAACGCATAACAGGTGTTATTACCAGACATGCCCATTTTAACAGACATTTTTTTTTACTTAGGTGTCAGGGACAGCCCCCTATTCTGCTGGAATGCAACGGAGTGGCCGAATACAGGGCAATCACGAATGTGAAGGCCCTAAGGGCGTTCTTGTTCTTGGTGGAGCTGGGCTGCTTGGAGTGACTCCGGCAACTCAACCTCCTCACGCAAAACACGCGCCATAACGACGTCGAGTTGCGCAAACACCCGTTGCAAGAAGAAGAAGATGGTCCTTCGAGCTTCATTTATCCAAATATTGTAAAAATACAATTAAAGTTATTTTGGATAAGTTTAGCTACACGAAATATGTTAACTATTTAGTTACTATCATAATTAACCCTTTCCTTCATTTAGAAATTCCTAAATGTTGGTATATCAAAAGGGTCTTTGATTGTTGTATCAGATATAACCACGGATTTGACATATAATTAACAAATAACAAAATTTACCTTTTTATTACTATGAATGTCAGTCACTTTAATTCACTTGCAACTGCAGATGTTTGATTTAAATGATGCCGTGGCGTAACAACAACACTGTTGTATCAAGTCACACTTATCAGTGCTCATATCGATTCGATTGCTGATAGTTACCGAGTTAACCTTAGTTGTTCGTTCATGCAACGTATATTTATCTGTAATATTGATTTACTTACATGACCGGAGATACTATATCTCCGGTCATGACTGTAATGTATTATTAAATACGCATTTAAGAAATAAAATTTAAAAAGTAACATCGATTCTATATTCACGATTTTCTAATCGCATCGACCGCGACGATACGTTTCGGCTCGAATAGCTTCGGCCCCCCTTCCCTCGTTCCACTTCCACTACCCATAAATGCTTCAGTGATATTAGACGTGTATTTTGTTTTATTCCGTGCTATTATCGCAGTTACAATGGGTTTCTAGTACCTAAACGTTTGCACACCTGAGTGTGCCTTCCCGCACTAAAGTAAAAATGTCGTAAGTACAATTTTTCACTATTTTTTGGTTAATTTCGTGTGGTAATTATGGCGATGGTTTTGCATTCCGTCATTCGCAGCGTAGCTTTCACTCGCGTCTTAGCGGGGGGAGCCTATTATTTTATTGCGACAGATTATGAAGTTATTCTGGATGAAACTGACTGAATGATCATTTAACTTTTATTAACCGTGGGTCATCATTTATCAACAATCGAATTGTTGTCTTCCTTGTCTCATAATAAAATGACGAATAATTGAGATAACGGTGTAGTGGTGATAAATTCCATTACAAAATAGGAGGAAAAATCTTTAAAACTGTCTCTTCAGTATTGTTTATCTTGAATTTGACAATTCATAATGTAAAGATTAACAGGAAATATTATAATTCATATTGTGACAGCTTAACTCTTGAAATATCATACATATTCCCAGTTCAATATGTTACACTATGTTGTGTGCTTATTTGTTGACATAGCGAAAGCTACATACCTACGTACTCAATTTTATGTAAAATTTAAAATAATAAACTTTGTAGATATAGAGAGAGGGAATTAGTTAGGTAGTTATAGTACACACTGCTTATTATTAGGTTATTCAAGAATCATTTTCTGTACTTTTAGCTATAATAACCTAGCTGTGTTTAAATACAAGTTATCTTCTTTTAAAGTTGTTTCTGAGTATTTAATATCCTTTGTCAGTTATCTTAATGCTTAGTTTATTTCATACTTTCTCTATTAATGTATTCTATAATGAAGCTATTTGTTAAGTTGCTATTTAAAAACAGTGGAACATGTTTTAAATCTATTCTATAATAACTTTAACCTCCTTGAAAATTAACAGTCTTCTATTTAGAAGATTGTTATTTATCATAATCTTCTATTTAGAAGGTATTTACCTTTTATTTTTGTTTTTCTACTAGTACTTACCTAGATTAAGTCGCAGTAAGATAGGTAGTTAAATCTCTCTTATAACTATGTCACGGAATATAATTATATCCCCAGGGATATATTTATATTACGGTTTTATCTATCTTACTGAGACATGTTATATAGATACTTGTTGT